AACAGAAGGACACGGAGAGGGCGGTGGCATGTTTAAAAGTGGAGGGAAAATACCAGCAGACAGACAGCGGTTGCTGTCTGAAATACTGCTTTTAAAAACCAAGTGGGGGCAGTTGACGAGGAGATTTCACTAAAGTTGTTTAGCGATGAAGATGGACAGGAATCAACATGTGCAGCCCAACCTTATAGAAATAATGAAGCAGCATTTACCAACTGTTGACAAGTAAAAGTCAGAGTCAACTAGGTAGATGTGACTCAAAGATGAGATTAGCTGTTTCAACAAGAAGATCTGAATATATACAAGGATGCACCCAGCTGCCTTTAGACCGTGTGCAAAGCCTTTATTAAATGTCAGTGTGGCGCTGTGGCTGCTGTAAACTGTCTGCACTGAGCTCAGTGTGAATCGTAACAATTACCCAGGGGACCAGTGTGAGAGAAGGTCAGTATCAACACCAGGCAGCGGAACAATGACACGAATATGTGTGTCGGAGTCATAAAAGTGCAGGAGGACGTGAACAAAGAGCAAAGAAAGAGACAAGGGGAGGTGGAGAGAGGAGGGCAAATAAAGCTTCCAACATTAAAGCAAATCATCATCATCATCATCTATTGAGCTGAAACATACCATCTCAGCCTGTGTGGATCAATGCATCACCACTCTATAGGCTCTTTCAGTTGGGGCAGTTAATTTCCCAGGGTGCCTTGCATCAACAACCCTCACAGAACATGCCTGAACTTGTTGCTTTCAGCTGTCCCCCGTTCAATACCCACTGATGCTGCTGAGTCAGCACAGAAAAATACAATCAGGCAAAGGAAAATTAGATTGTCAGGATTTATATTAAAAGGTTAGGTTGTGTGTTTCTATTGTATTTTACATTTGCCTTGGCTCAGTCTTCACAAATGAGGTAACACACCACAGTAAGTTTGTCAGAGCATCACAACTCAGTTTTGAAATCTAATGGTCATCAAATAATACTAATACATCAAATAATCATGAAATAAACTGCAGTGGTTATTTCCTCAAGATTATGCAAATAGCAATGAGGAAAAAAAAGTTTAATTTATGCACAAGACATATTTAAAAGGAATATGAAGAATGGCTTTTGAAATGTCTGATTTTACTCTGGTTAATAGGGTGCAGTAAATGTAGATAATAAAATTAGAGTGTATTACATTTATAAAAGGCAAAATGATGATCATTATTATATCTCACTGCATCAGTTTAATTTTTCTGTTCTGTATGGACCAGTTTGTTTTATTCAAGACACCAAACCTTAGGTATTTAATCATCTAAAACACATGAAGCTACTGTGATAAACCAATCAGCCACAAGGTTAAAACCACTGTCAAGAGGTGAGATATATTAGGCAGCAGGTGAACGGTCAGTTGTGGAAGTTGTTGTGTTCGAAGCGGGAAAATGAGCAAACGTGAGGATCTGAATGACTTTGATAAGGAGTCGGAGCATCTCCAAAGCAGCAGGTATCGCATCGTGTGGTGTTCACGGTCTGCAGAGGTTAGTACCTGCCAAAAGAGGTCCAAAGAAGGGTGAGGGGGTCATGTGCGCCCAAGGCTCATTGATGCGTGTAGGAAGTGAAGGCTGGCTTGTGTGGTCCAATCCCACAGAAGAGCTACTGTGGCACAAATTGTTGATACTTTAATGCTGGCTATGATAAAAAGCTGTCAGAACACACACAACTTGCTGTGGAGCTGCAGACTGGCAGAGCGTCCATGCTGACCTCTGAGAGAGAGAGAGAGAGAGAGAGAGAGAGAGACTGAAGAGGCGCCTCTTAAACACTGGGCCCAGGTGCTTCCAACTGGGTTGATCTAAAGCAGGACTCCACCCTCCGGGTACCTGCTGCTTCGACGGGTCAGAGCTGTAATGTGGCTGATCAGTGCTTAACCCTACATAGTAATTTATACCACTGTAACAGACACTCAACACATTCTGACATTCCACAGGAATCAAAGGAAAATAAACTGCAAACGTTTCCTTTAGTTTCTTTCTATTACATTTGAATTGCTGGTAGCAGTGGCTCAGTATTTCACATTTACATTAAAAGTACACTCACTGACATGATGGAGAAAAGCACTGAAACTTGTGATGAGGTGTCTGTATTCAGAGTAAAGAGCATTTGATTTAGTGTTTTGCACTTTATACAGTGTGTGTTTAAACAAAAGAATTTAGCATTAAGAGCTTTGCAGATTAAAACTATGCTGTGGAAACTGAACGAGAACAAACTGAAAATACTGTAAATGAGTTACAGTTGGCACAGGCTCTCCTTACAAGTCAAAGTTCTGCAAAAGGAAGCTACTGAAGCTCAGTCCAACACAACTGCATGTGCTTTATTTAAAAAAAAAAGAAAAAAAAAATGTTAATGTTATTTTACCGAGCTGCAGCTTTGTTGCTAATAACACTTCTACAATGAGAGATATAATAATAGTAGAAAAGCAATAGCACTATAATTCACTATAATGTAACAATACAGATTCAGTTAGTCACACTGAAAGTCCAATAAAACTTCGCCCACTGGATGTCAATACAACATCAGCTATACAGATGTAACTGATCTCAAAAGAGAATAAAGTGGAGAGCCAAACTAAGAACTAAAAAGCTGGTTTGTCATGAAGTATTAACATGTACGATTCCACAACAGCCTCAGCATCAGACCAGGCTTATTTAACAGCTACAGTTTAACAAAAACATGTGTTGCATGTAAACATGCGTCTCCTTGCTCCTCTCTCTACCATAATCATCATAATCACCACAGAGTGATCACCAGCTATGAACGTGTGCACACCTGCAATGACACATTTCCATCACAATAACAAAATATTAGTAAAAAAGTGCGCTGAAAATAGGATCTATGCAAAGAGTAATGACATCAAAAAAATAATAAAACATTATAGTCACTTGTCTGTGGCACTCTGAACTGTTTTCTAACGTTTCTCCATGTAGCTAGCCATGTTAAGGAATAAATGCAGCAGTTACTGGTTCATGTATTGCTGCCAGATCTGTTTTGAGGGCCTGACCTGGCCTGATTCTGGGACAGGCACCAGCTCCTGTCTGGGCACTTTAGCGCCAGCGTCGGCACCTGGAACCGGGCCATCGCTGGCATGTTATTTATCATGAGTCTGGCATGAGTTTGTGAACCCAGCATGTCACATTTGGCTTGTGGTGGGCTATGTAATTTTTTCAATCACAACTTGGACTTAGGTGAAAATCTGATTACTTTAAAATACCAAAATCCTGATGAGTGTAGTTTGTCAGATCAAGATCACAATGACCTCCAGTAGGCCAATTTGTTTGACAAACAGATTCACTATAAGGAGCAATTACCATGCGCTAACAGCAAAATACACCTGTAACTACATCATATATTAGTTTCTAAGCAAAGTTACAGTGATTTTTTCTTCTCAGATTGTTTCAATTGAAGGATTTTCAGAAGCATGAAGAGGTGGAAGTGTCAGTAGTACACAAGAAAAATAACTTTTTTTGCTGATCCCTGAAATCATTTGACCCCTCCTGTTTTTCTTGTGGCCCCTCACCCCCAGTTTGGGAACCTTTGCCCAGATAACAAAATGAAACTTCTGGCCCAACATATGCCTGGGCCTTGGTCCAAGTCTGGCCCATATTATTTCACATCTAGACAGTCTGGCCATTATCCTCCGGTATTGACTGACAGCTGGAAGTTTGTGTGTGTGCGCCAGAATTGGCCCAGAGGTATGATTCGGATCGTGGAACCACGGCAGTATATTGGGCCAGTAGAAAACAATCATGTGGCCCAAGTATGGGCCAGATTTATTTAGCTATTATATGTATGAAACTTTACAATTAGAACCTAACTTTCAGTGACAGAGACGGGATCCACTATAATATTGTTAAAGAATCCTTCCTAAGTGTATCATAGATTTACTATACTTCAAATCAGTGTTTGCATCTCCACTGGCCCAGATTTGAATAGCATTTGGCGGCAGATTTAGTGTATTGAAGGCTATTATGCAAGCACTTGGGGCTCCTCCTCAGTCTGCCTGTTTGCATGCAGGGCGGGTCCCAGGCTGCTTAACACTGAACCCCCCTCCCTCTGCCCCCACAACTTTTCGCGCTGTGGTACAGGTAATATTAGCGCCACTGGCGTTGTCCCCCCTCCCCGCCCTCCCACCAGTCTGTTTCGGCCGCAGAACTAATTATAGCCAGCTGTAGAGACAAAAGCTTGGGTGATTAGGTTAAAAGGTATTAATAGCGCCCTTCTAAGCACATGGATGTGCAGCTAGACGCTGGTGTCACTGTTGGAGAAGAAGCAGGGAACAAGCCAAATGCCTCAGCTGAAAGTTCAAGATCGTCTTTAGAAACAATGAGTCACTCCTTCAAATAAATCGGTGTGGAATGAAAAAAACGCCTTCGCGTTTCAAGATAGACTGAATGCATTGATGTGTCTCACTTGTCTAACACTGAACTGAAGTGGGTTAGCAGTCATTAATTGAATTAAATGAGGTAGTGTCAAACTATCAGAGTAATCACATAACAATATATCAAGTCCCATCTCTGGCTGATAAGCCTGTCTATAGTTCTTGTAATGTAGTAAATTGTTATTTATCTGCTTCTGGTTTTATCAGTGCTCCTTGTGTATCTGTCAGTTGTTCCAAATAAACTACCCAAAACTGCTGATTTGCTTTCACTGCCGCCATTTCTGGTCCTGTACCTGAAAATATCTGCAGAGTGAGACCTCAGCGTCTTTGTACTTCTTTTGACTCCCCCCAGAGTCTTGGACAGAACGCGCCGGTTGCCCCGCCAACACAACTCGGGAGGCGTGGTCATTGTTCACACCCATTGGTAGAAGCTGACGCGCGTACCCGAGCACAATAACGCTGATTGGCTAGAGCTAAATGACGCAGCAGTGCACCTGGGCGCTGATTGGCTGGAGTGAGCCAGATGTCTGAGAGCGCCAGAAAACAAGCTTGAGCGGGTGATGCTGAAGTCTCCCCGGGACAGTACAGGGTGTCCGCTAGCCGGACAGCAGCAGAAGTCTGGAGGTAAATGCTCAGGAGGGCTGCCCGCTTATATCGAAGAGGGAAATTAGCTGCTATGCTGGTCTGAAGAAACTACGCGCTGACACATCTGTAATACCGGACACGGAGCCACACAAGAACATTTCATTCATTCAACAGCAGAGAAAGGTGAGGAGTAGTGATTTCCCTCCAGCGGTTTGCTGCTTGCTCTAACACTAAGTTGTGAAATGCTGGTCAGCTGAGCTAGTAGTGTTAGCTAAGAAGCTAATTAAAAACGAGTAGAACTATAAACGAGTAACAGCGATATATTTATTCCCTTTCACTGGCTCAGCTAATGTGTTAATATGGAGCTTACTGAAAGAAGTTGCCCTTTACGAAGTTAACAACTTTGAAGCTACAACTTAGATTACATCTTTGAATTCACGTAATTTACTAACGTCTTATAATAATACAATCACCCGACAAGTTGCCACATTTGCTGCAATTGAGTGCGTCACGTCATGTTAGCAATTAAACAAAGTGTTAAGCAGGGAGATTGGTTGTTAGCTAAGTTAAAGTCGTTAGCTTGCTAAGGGCTAGTTAGCTGATTTTCTTTGCGCCAAATTCAGCTGCCCACTCGTCTTAAGTTTTCTGCACTGGCTGAAACTTCCTTAACTTCACCATGCACCCCGCAAAAACAGTGCTCAGGTGACCCATTTATGATTTTCTAAACATCCATACTCTTTTCTGGACTGCAGTTTTCCCTGATGGAAGTTGAATGTCTCGCACTCAAAGACCTCACAAGTCCAAGGAAAAGTTTTACGGTGGGGTCGGAGGAGAATGGGGGCCAAAGTGAACAAAAGGTAAGGTGGATCACTGCTTAATCTTAGGTGTGGTCTTATCATTGCGACTCTTAGCATTGCAACTCTTAGCAGGTTTGATATAATGCAACTGAAGGAGAGCTGCTGCAGAATCAGGTAGAAAGAGAGAAACCCTCAGAGTAATGTGGTGGCATCTCAAGAGAGGGACGAAGTTATAAGATGTGGGCTAGGCTAGGGAAGTTTTTGGCTTCCAACATCACCGTTTCCGTGAGAGTGGAAAAATAGTTTGTTGACCAGAAAAAAATTACCAAACAAGACCTTGAAGTGTTTAAATGTCAGTGCATTTGTTTAAGAGTACTTGATTTATTACTTAAATACTGCACCTAAAATCATCAAAATTCACCAAGTCTCTGTGTAGTAGTGTCAACATTTGACTTCCTACATAGAAGCCTGTGATGGAGATTTGAGTTCATACAGCAACATGTTTAAAATGAAAGATTTCAACAGGTTTATGTGTTGTGATGGTGCTACGTTACGTCACTTGTGCTCTAGAATAACCAAATAACATTGAAGTAATGAATAATAATCTTAAATGTCACCCATTGTAAATTTATCTTTTAACCACACAACCATCTCCATCACAGGAAAACATCTGCACAGAGAAGAGAAGATCCACGCCTCTGAAATCTGCTGAGCCTACCATCCCCAATTTACTAATAAGCAGAAAAGTTGCCACCCCCGATCTGACCCACATCACCCCCATCAAGCGTTCAGCCCTGGCCGAGCCCTGGACACCCACGGCCAATCTGAAGATGCTGATCAGCGCAGCGAGTCCAGACATTAGAGACCGAGAGATGAAAAAGGTGCTGTTTAGACCCATAGAGAATGAGAAGGACAAGCCAGCAAGTCCCAATGCTGCGATAGTAGATACGGAGGTGGACGATTCTTATCAGGTATGTTAAATGTGAAATTTTTGCATCTACCAAAGAAGCTAAGAGCTAATGTAGTTTATCAAAAAACACACAATTGTGAAAGGTCAATAAAATAGTCAATAAGGCATTTAATAAGTTAGTTCTAAATGTCTAAAATGTCTTATTTTTTGCTTAGTCTACAGGGGAGGAAGCAGTTAGATTGCAGTTATTGTTAATTGGTTTGATTATGGAAATGCTCTCAAAGGAACCCAGAATTTCCAAAATCTTTAAAGTCCACAGAGTAAACACATTTTACCCGCTTTTTATTTATATTAGCAGCTGAACTCTCAAGATAGGGAGTTTTCCAAAGCACAAATTAATTCCCTCAGTTATGCCTCATAAAGTCATTTTGTGTACAAGCAGCAGATGGAGTCTAAATTGCCCTGAGCTTTTGTGATACATTTGTTTGTTTAATCCGACAATGTGAAAGTTTTTTTCCAGCCTTAATATCTTTTTAGGGACTGTGAGAATTAATTCTGTGAAATATGTGGCCCTGAAGACATTATTGGAAAGCAATTTATGAGTCTGTGCATTACTATGGGTGATCGCAGTGCAGAAGGCAGCACCAACGCCAATGTTAATTTCTCTAAATTAGTGCAGAAACCCCAGACTGACAAATTGTTATTTATCTATTATTGTCTATATTTGTGTGTCCAGTTTGAAGCTGTGGACGAAGATGATGAGGCAGAGAAGAAGCCGAGCAGGAAGCAGAAGAGTCTGGGTCTGCTGTGCCAAAAGTTCCTGGCCCTTTACCCCGATTACCCTCCACCACACAGCCCCATCTGGATCTCACTGGATGAGGTGGCAACCAGTCTGGGTAAGAGCCAGTGATGTGGGAACAATAGGGAGTTGTGACAGGGGAGAAGGATGACTGACTAGTCCCAGCTCACGTCGGTGCTCTTATTGTAAACACCTAATGGGAGCAAGACGATAATGGGAGCAGCTAATGTCCATTTCATGAGCATTGTAAAGATTTTATGTTATTGGATTTAGGGCCGGTTGCTATGGAGACCTCTCTTTCATTCAAACATACTCTGTATTTAAATGAAGGGTGCGCAGCTGCAGTTTGAACTTTCATTTTATATCAAAACACTGACTGCTCTGCGAGGTTTCATTCAAGTATTTTGAGTGTGTGTGTGTGTGTGTGTAATTTCTCCGTTCTCTCTCTCTCTCTCATCGTCAGGAGTGGAACGGCGCCGTATCTACGACATCGTCAACGTGCTGGAGTCTCTGATGATGGTCGGCCGCATAGCCAAAAACAGCTACACCTGGTACGGACGCCAGCAGCTGGACGCCACGCTGGAGGAGCTGCAGCGGAGGGGCCGGCAGCAGGGCTACCACCTCCAGATGGATCTGGCTGCTGAGGCCAGGGAGGCAGGGCCAGGGCGCGAGGATGACGGCGGGGAGGGGGACGCCGGCATCGGTAATGAACAGACACAACATAAGTATCTACAAAGCCCCATTTCTCTGATTATCTCCTCGCACCTTCACAGTCTTTACCATCAACTGTTTTGGTGGCTGCGATAAAGAAGCTAAATGGTTCAGCATCAGTTAAACACCAAACATGTAAAAATTTAAATGCAGGTTTAATTTCAAGAGCAGCTGCCACCAAATTAACCCTACAGCTAAATGATCATTAATGAATACGAGCCTGGGGACTCCATAGCGATGCTACCTCCACATGCACACACGCAGCTTTTCATACTGTGTGTGTGTGTGTGTGTGTGTGTGTGTGTGTGTGTGTGTGTGTGTGTGTGGACTTGTGGCTGGATAATATCATGACAAAGAGGTTGTTTACAAAAGGTAGAGCCTTGTGACACGCCTCGATGTCTATAAGTGGTTAATGTCAGCCGCTTTTGTTATGGCTGGTTGAATGTGATGACCTCAGGCGTCATTATAATAACATAACACATATACAACACACATAACATGATAATTTGTCATCGTTGCTGAGCTGCACGGCAACAAATATCTACAGCAGGAAAAGTGTTACTGAGGCACCGGCGGCACATTTAAACATGTACAATATCATAGTTTGTGATCAGAAAATATTGTTTGAAAACATTTTACTTTAGCCCATTATGTGAGTGCCAAGATGTTTTAAAATTGAGAGTCAATTTGATGAATTTAAAGGTTTTGTTTTTCTCTGTATTAATGAATCTCCATTTTTTGATCTTAATGATATTTAACACAAGCTCATATATAGCATCTAACCTTTAGAAAATGCTGTAAACCATGTATTACTCCTCAAATAATCTTTCTAATATAAAAAACATCATCAAGCTGCTAATGTTATGGCCTAATCATGCTTGACTTTCCTGTGAAACAGGAAAATCAAGATTAGTGTGTTAGGTTGAACCACAAGTTTGCAAATCCTGATGTCTGACGTAATATTTTTGAAATCTTATCCCTTGTTCTGTAAGAAGTCAGATAGTAGGAATTTGAATAAAAGGTATGTAAAGATAGAGGGGGCTCATGTTTTCTGGTATCTGTTGTTTCACAAGTTACAATCCTGTAGCTTGCTGCTGCAGTGACTCCGGTTTCTGTGGTGGATTTAGGTTAACCTCATACATGATGTACAGATTTCCGTGACTGTAAAAGATGTTTGATAACATGCCGCGTGTACCCCCTGGTGTTTTTGCAGCTGGTGGCAACAGGAAAGACAAATCTCTGCGCATCATGAGCCAGAAGTTTGTCATGCTGTTCCTGGTGTCCAAAACTCAGACTGTTACCCTGGACGCAGCAGCAAAGATCCTCATCGAGGAGAGCCAGGACTCATCAAGTCACAGCAAGTACAAAAGTAAGAAATCCAACACGACCGCGAACACATGTTGTTCAAGATAGACACCCCTGTGATTAAAGTGCACAGCTGGCCTTTTGTATGTTTAAAGAAGTTAGTCATTGTATGTCCTGTAATAGAAATCCTGGTGTTATTAAAACTAAAATGTCCTGTGTCTTCAGCTAAGGTGCGGCGGCTGTACGATATCGCCAACGTCCTGACCAGCCTGTGCCTCATAAAGAAGGTGCATGTCCGCGAGGAGAGAGGCAGGAAGCCGGCCTTCAAGTGGCTCGGCCCCGTCGACTTCAGCAACTCTGGAAATACCGGTAAGAATCAAAGACAAGTTTCTCTGTCATCCTACAAAATATCCGCTCTCACACCATCTCAGACATTAACCTATAAGGAAATACTGTGTATGTTGCAGCTGTAATGCCGCCTGAAGCCAGACAGCCAATGGCAGGCCACGACCTCGGAAAAGCCAAGATGGCACGCCACGCCTCCTTCAACATCACACCAACTTCTGTGGCCATCCAGCGGCAGGTCAACTCCGCCCCCAGCAGCCCACGGCGAGAACTAACAGGTAAGAGACACTTGAATGTAGCTTCATACGATTACATCAATGTCTGGTTGCAGTCAGTTAAACTTTGAACATCTGTATGTTCCTCACACCTCAGGTCTGGCCAATCAGCCTGTGGATTATTCCAGGAAGACTACAAGCAACAACGCAGTGTGTCGACTGCAGTTTGGGAACAGCTCTGAGTGAGTACAGACACACACGCACACACACACCTCTGTAATCGCCGCAGCCTTCCCTCGGTTTAGATTTATCTCATCCAACACAGATTTACTGCCAAAGAATTTACTGCACACAGTAGCTCTTGTTGCTAACCTTTGTCAGGAGAGACCATCAGTGTTATTGAAGAGAATCCACATCAGCTGCCTGTAACAAGGGGCAAATGGAGCAGTAGATAGTTTGTAGTTTATAGATAACACGTATCTGCTTTCAAAGTGAGGCTTCACAACTGCATTTATTTTCCCATCTTGGCATTAAAAGCTATTGACAATGCCTTAGTTATAAGATGCAGAGGCTCCTCAGTCACTGGGGGAAGGGGGTGTTAAATCTCAGTCTCTGTACATATTATTTCTCACTCACTTCAAGTGTTTGCATTGGCTGATGTGCTTAGTTTTAGGCTGCATGTAACAGGAGCCGACTGCCGCAGATACGAATGGTTATTGTCTCCTGTGCATGTGTGTGTTGGCTTCCTCAGATACAGTACACAGAGGTTCATGTTACTTCTACGGTTGACCTGCTTGTGGCCAAACCACAGCTAGCCCCAAGGCTGTGGCTGTTAAGTGTTCTTCAGGGGGGAGGAGTGAGATGATGGGACGTGGAAGTGTGTGTTGAAAAGGAATATTTTACACATGAAGCTGGGTAACAGTCCACCGGGGGCAGCGGTAGCCCACAGGATGACTGTTGGAGGTTTATGTCTGGGGAGGTAGAAAATCTGCACATCAGCAAGAGCGATCGGAGGGACGTCCAGGCTCTTCTCCACCACAGGAGCCTTTCGAAGAGTTCAGGAACTTAACCTGTGTTTCTACTGGAGGCAGTTAGCACTAAATTTAGCTCCTCTGCTATTGTTACTGGTGCCTAAAAAGTCCCAGTTCACGCCCCTCCCTGGGAACAGCTTACAGGGCTTTATGATGCTGATTGGTCGTGTCCAAACCCTCACAGCTGCTACATTTTATGCACAGCTTCATTCACAACAATAAGGAAGCACTGGATGCCAGTGGCATCTCTGCTGCGGCAAGAGCCAGACTTTTCTTGTGATGTTTATTGTTGAGAACAAGAGAGCAGGCAAACACAGAGAGAGAGAGAGACTGAGACAGGACGAGAGAGCAAAGTAAATTTGAAGATTGTTGGAAAGATGATCTGCTTTAAATCCACTCATCACATCCATTTAAAACATACCAAATACACTCATAGCAAATACAGAGAACACACAACTCTGTTGTTGTGGAAATAGCTGTCATTCGGCTGCTGGTGTTTATTCTGTTATTGGTCTAATTTGCCCAGACGCAGTGGAAATGAAAACATGACTGTGTGAAACAGAGTTTTTCCCCACTACTTTAGTTCCTGAAACTATTTGGTCAAAGTGCTGATTGGGGAGTTATATATGAGCCAGGGCTCCAGAGTCAGGGTTGCCTAAATGTGCAGGAGGCTGCTGCGGTTTGAGACTAGAAAACTAGAGACCCAAGCCCAGACCACTGCAGTATTTACTGGATTTAATGTAAAATGAATCTGGATTCAGATTGTGGATGAACTAATTCCACTACAGGCCGCAGGCTGTACTTCTCAATGAGGTTCAAGCTGAGAATTAAAGCTTTAATTCTACTAAAAGTAAAACTCAAATACTATTGCCTTTTCTTGTTTCCCCTCAGTAACCAGCCCAGTGCAGCCCTGCAGACCAACATCCAGCTGCCTCTGTCCTCCACTCAGTCCACCCCGCTGGCACCCTCCCTCCACCCCGAGTACCTCCTCGCCTCTTCCTCCTCCTCCTCCTCCTCCTCCTCTCCCCACTGCTTGGCCTACCTGCCCAGCCTGTCTCAGCCCTCGCTGGTCATGCTGTACCGGCCGCTGGACAAGCCCGAGCAGACACCTGAAGGTCAGAGGTCACCCAGGATGGAGTCTGAGGAGGGGAGGAAGAGGAAGAGGGAAGAGAAAGAAGAAGACAAGGCAGTGGTAAAAAAGAAGGGAACATCTGGATTAGAAGAATGTGACAAGGTGAGGTGATATTTGGTTTGTTTTAGAGAGAGAAAAATATGATAAGTGTTTAATGTCATTCACTGCTTTTCACTTTGGTTCAGATTGATAGGGAGCGACGTAATTATTTTGGTTCAGTGCAGTAATATGATTGCATGGCGTCTTTTTTCTGAGCAGTGTGGCGTTCACAATCAGAAGATCCTGTTAGTAATTCAGGACAGCAGAGCATTAAATTAAAAATATGAAATACTACATGCTTGCTGATGAGGATAAGTCATCCCCGGTGTAATTACAGACTTATATTAGCGATGTAGAGGATATTTGATAATTGGAAAACCTTAGCAATTAATCAGGCTGTACAGTCATAGTAAGTGGGAAAGTCTAATTTTTCATGGTGAGATGGTTTTGTAGAAAGGAAGTTTAAGAGAGTCGCTGTGAGAGCTGCACTTTTACATCAGGAAAATTACTTGGCAGCTCAAATGCTATTAGATAGGGAGAGTGTTAATCAGTGCACAGGCTCTATTTTCTCCACGTTGATATAAACTGTTATTTAAGATGAAATGCAGAATTGGACATTTTTTATAATAATGCTTAATGCCTTTATCACATGGACGCAGCAACAAAACTGCTGGTTCCTCTGTTTAGGTTTTCATCGTCCTTTTTAATCCTGTTTAAATCCTGTTTAATTTGTTTTCCCTCCAGGTGAGAGCTGAAGCTCACAGGGAAGCAGGGGAGTGTCCACAGATGGGTGCCACCAGGACGTCTCCCAGTCACCCATCAGGCCTCTCCAGAGCGCTCGATGAAAGTCACGGTGGCAACAACAGCAGCGAGGCCGCCCAGCCGTCACACTACCTCTACGTCCCCAACAGCGCAGGTACACACAAGACTGTAAATCTGCAGAAAGTCAAGTCCAGAAAAATACTGGGAGACTAATCTGCCCCCTTTAAAATCCCTCTTTGAATAAGTAACCCCTCTGTCTTTAGATTTAAATGAAAATTTAAAGAGAGTCGATACTGTAGCAGTGTTGGGAGAAATCATATTAAGACTGACACAATAATGCAGATAAAGAATATCTGTGGTAACAGGTTCCCCAGCATGGAGGATTATCTAGAAATGGTAAAATACAGTTTCAGTTACTCCTGAAAACTACCAAATTCATCCATTTAAAAAAATATTTTAACGTAGTTCAGGAGTAATTTGAACACTTATGTCACTAGATAAACCAAACAACCAAAAATAAAAAGTTTGAAGGAAAACAAATGTGGACACACGTGGTCCAGACCACCTCTGAATGTGGTCTGATTGATCGGATCTCAAATGCATCTTGGGTGCGTTCACACCTGAATTTAGAGCTGACCACTTGTGATCAGATCACCAGGCGGACGTTAACACCAGGTCTGAACAGGCCGTACACTAGCTGGTTATAACCTGGAGGCCTGGACCTACTTCCTCAGGGAGTTCACTAGTTTAAAAAGTGTCACAAGATGATTGACAGGCCAGATCTACACTAAATCCATAATCTGTGATGTGGGTTACAAGTGAACACATCTATGGTTTTAACAGGTGACAAGACAAAACTTGCTTTGAAAACATGGACATGTTAATGGAATTTAGTTATAAAGATAAAACATGTGGTCACACTGACTGCAAAAATCAATAAGCTGATATCAGATGCAATGAAATTAACATTATTATGAAAACTCACCGAATCCAACCACCACTGTGCACGACTCAGGATACACTGAAGACGGTGAAAGGCTTGTCTTCAACTGTCATGAAATAATCAATAATCAGGAATCAAATCATAAATATTTATCCACACTGGCATTACTGTGTTTACATAGATAAAGATGAGATATTGTTGCAGTAAACACTCACCTACATGTATTCAGATAAGAACAAAGCCCTCACTTCACAGGAGTCAAACAGAACAATGAGACGGTTAATTAAGACACCTGTGTGTAGTGCTGACAGAGGGTGCGCTTGATTTGTGTCTCATTGTCTTAGTATAGGTCAGGTGACTTCTAGTTCCGAACAAGTTTTAATCTCCTCTCTCTTGTCTCCAGGTCTGAACAGCCTCAACCTCTTCCTCCCTGCCGCCCAGCCACCAGCCAGTCTAGCACTTCCTCCCAGCGGCGTTCCCACCCTGGCGCTGCCCTACGTCCTGGTGCCCTCTGCCGCCCTCTCCCACTACCCCCTGGTCGCCAGCAGTCTGCAACAGCAAGGCTCCGACGCCCACACCAAACTCAGCTTCAGTCTGCCCGCTGTGATGTCGCCCGCCCACTTCACAGTGGGGGCGGCACCTTACAGCCTGGCAGCGGCACCGGAGATCAGCTGGTCACCGGCTCTGTCGCCGTCCAGTCCAGAACAAAGCAGGCTGTACGGGTCAGCGGCAGGGGCGCCGCATTCACCCCCGGGACCACGACAGACTGTCAGCATCAGCACACCAGAGCCACTGGTAAGAATTTCAGTCTGTTAGTAACATCCCTCCCCAACGCAAGTAACAGTATGAACTGATATGAAAAATAAAAGTCTTCACTACTGATTCAACCCACCAGATTTGTCCTGTAAAAACATTCATTTAGACATAATTAGCCTTCATAATGATACACGACCTCTCCGATATCAGGCACTTACAAAATGCCATAACACAGCTTGACATGAGAGCGAGTGCAGCATTTGTTTTGTAGAAGGTTTCCCCTCATTTACTCATCCAGACACTTTGTGTGTTTGGAGCTGATGAATCTCCAGGTCTTTAAACAGGGATTAATGTTCCTGTCTGCACAGCCCGACATCGCTCCACTGCCGCTGCTCCTCTTAATCAGTCGTTTGTAGGCGACCTGCCGAGGCTCCGGACGGAAAATTAATGCTGCTTTATAAACAATAGGACGAGTCGCCGGCCGTGTTGTAATGAGGCATAAATCCAGAGCCTGGGATGGTTCCTCTTATCTTTTTTCCACATATAGAATTTCTTGTAAAACTATGCACCATCTCTTATTGGAGCTGAAACGATTTGGTCAATGAATTAATTAGTAGATTGGCAGAAAAGTTTTGATGACTGATGAGGATGAGCTGGTATGGATGGGTCATTTGTGTCATTTTTAAAGCAAAAAAAAAAAAAAAATGCAGTTTCCAGTTCATTTGCTATTTGCTGGGTTTTGATGATAATAAACTGGATAACTTTGGATTTTGGACAGTTGCCATATCAACACAAGCTGTTTGAATGTCAGCTTAGGCTTTGGATAGTTGTGATGAACACTTTTCACTGTGTTTCTGTCATCAATAATGAAAATGATTGTTAGGATTTGGGAGTCAGATTTTGAACAGCTTCCTTTTTAACAAAAGAAAACTAATTCACATCTTCATGCCGTCCATAGGTGGTCCATAGTTGTTTTTTGTTTTATTTTTCTGACCCCCCTTTTTTTTTAACGCTATTTTTTACAGCATTTTTGCCTTTTATTGTGAGAGGACAGTGAGATTTAACATTTAACAAAATAAAGTCAAGAAATTGATAATTTATTACTTTTCTCAAGCATATTAAGTCTTTGAAAGTTGATTTTCATACCAAAATAAAATAAAAGCAAATATTTTATTACTTTGATAAACAATGACAAGATGCAGTGCAAATGTTCTCCAAATTTACATCACTCTCTCCATCCACAGACCCCACATACTCCAAAGGACACAGCAGCATCCGCTTCTAAGGCTTTCTTCCAGACCCCAGGAACTCTGGGAAGTGTAGTCAGTGCCCTGCCGGCTGCTAGAAGACGAGGCTCTGCACAGAGGAGACTGGATGTTGGCCACCCACCGACCAGTTAGACATCTGAGCAGAAAGAATAGATGGTTAATGTACTATTTTAACATGCAGGTGTTAATCCTGCATGTTAAAATATGGTTTCAAACCACCGGTGCTTATTTTAGTTCATTAATTATTAAATTAAAGATTTCCTCCTGTAATGCAAGAATATAAATTTTAGCAGAGACGGAAATGAACGGTCTTTTTGGAAACCAGAGATCTTAAACAGTTCTCACATTTTTGCTATTGACTGTACATTTTTACCAATTTGCGAGTGTCTCATTTTGAAATGAAATTCTTCGGTTGTCGGTCGGTCGTTACAGTTCAAATGTGCCTCATGGTTCAGTTGTTGATTTCAGAATAAGTGAAGCAGTATTGCCTATGTAACAGTGCCCTCCTGTGGTGGGAGTGGGCCACTGTTGTATTTTGTATTTCTGACATGAGTTTCCCTCTCAGATGTGATCAAGCTACCTAATCCCCATCACTTGTGTATTATAGCCCAATTGCTATTTATATATTAGCTAATATATGTTGATTACAGGGACTGTAATGGAACATTAACTCCTTTTTTAAGCACTAAGTATTTGATGAATGTTGAAGTGATTTAGTTGGCCCCTTCAGGTTTTGTTACATTATCAAGGTATAATAGGAAACGTATAAGCTGCTGATCGCCGGTTTACATTGACAGTAGCAGACAATCCTCTCTTGGCTCATTTCTGACAGTACCGTGAGGAGAAAATCACTAAAGCCTTAAATGTTTACAGCTAACAAAGCATCTCAAGGAACAGTTGTTGGACTTGATGCACGACAGATGCATTAATTTACTCATCAGGAAGATACACCTCACTGGTGCTGTGTAAGTTCTCACTGAGGATTTACAACCATGGTGCTTTATGGTTAAACACCAAACTTTTTAGATCCGTTACTGGCATCTAGAGGACAATGTGACATGGGATGATGCTCTCAGGTACTTGAATCCTTGTGACTTTACTAGAAGTAGATTCTGGAGAGATATCAGAGTACTGTAAAGGTTTTTATCCTTACTTTATCCAGGTAAAGTAGACTGATCTTATATGCTGTCTTTTATTTTCACAACACCATTCCACTATTCATAAAGTCCAACACATTTTGAACATTTCCAGTATGACCACAGTCTGCTGTTGTGCTGGTGCAGTTGGGGGTTTAAGTGCCTTGCAGGGATTTGTGTCAACAATCCTCTGGTAACAGACCCGCTAACTTGCCTCCAGACAACCCAGCCAAAAATATTGGTGCTTTGTGCGGGAATCATTGAGGAGAGCTTAGCTATGTCACGCCAAAGGGTGCACAGAAAATCCACTCTGACCAGTGGATGTGTAGTTATTAATGTACAGTTTTATGTCTGTAATTATTTTTGTAAATTGTATTCAGTGTCATTTAATATTTCCATGTGCAGAATGTTAAATGCTGCTTTATCGTTTTTGAAAATAATGACACTTGCACTGCTAGTTTTAGTAGTTGTGTGCTGATCTAACTTTTACGAAACATGGAGGCGTTCCTTCACTCTAGCTCTGCTCTCTGTAGTTATAGGCCTGACTGGTTTTCTTCTGTACGACTTTCACAAACTTTAATTAAAATATATGACTGATTAGTTTTGTAATGTGTGCTCTTTAATTTGAGGAATATGTCACAGTATTTAAGGTATTATATCACCACACGTTTACATATTTAAAGGTCCCATATTTCCCTCTTCTGTGTTTTATTTGAAGTGTTGATCCATAAGAAGATGTATTTGTGGTTTTAAGAACCAAAAACCATCTCAATGTAGTGTTACATCTCCTCTCTCAGACTTCTCTCTGGAGTTTTAGTAACAACAGGTTGGTGAGCCAATCAGAAGAGAGAAGGCTCTGAGCATCTCCTCTGATTGGCTTACTGTTTTCTGAGTGATCAATTAAAAATGTTGAGTAGAAAACTGTTTCATAAAGATGAAATGTTGCCATTTAGTTTTATACTACCATAGAAAAAAATTGGACAGATTTACAGATGACTTCAGTTTACCAGTTTACAACTTCACAGATGATCAATAACTCAGAGCGGCTCAGGACTCAGAGGGAAGCAAGTTGTGATAATGTGGTTGAACGACACACAGTCCCTGTGCGTTGTTGAAGTCGTACACATTAAACACACAGGATGAGGATCAGGTTGAAGCCACAGCGTTATAATACACATTATCACGAACAAGAGTCACTGCTCAGAGTGACAAGGCAGAACGGTGGTTAAAACACAAATTACACATCTAATAATAAACTCACATGTAAGATGAGATTCTTATTCAAACTGAATGAAATTCCATTGGTGAAGAAGACATTCAACGCATCAGGTGTGATCTTGGGGTCAGATCAAGCTGATTGAGTCACACCCCACAACACACACCATCTGTCAGAGGACATCAGCATCTAATCAGAGCTTTTATATCAGAGCCGAGGGAGCTGCCAGTAGATGTGTTTGGCCACTGCAAGGCATTTATATCACTAAACCTCAGCAGATGGGACAATTAACTATATGGACAGATAGATCAGCCAAGTATCTGCTGCGACCAAAAACCACTTCACTGACTGCTGCTGCTGCTGCTGCTGCTGCTGCTGCTGTGTTACACCACTTACTACTGCTAGTTCTGCTACTATTCCTACTACTACTGCTGCTGTTACTGTGGTTACCATTTCTGCAAATGCTACTCCTACTACTGCTAGGTAGCGCTCTTTGTAATAGCCTGTAATAACCCTAACCCTTTCTTTTTTAAATCAGGTTTTTTCTTTTTATGTGGCACCTGTCAAGGTTAAAACTCACATATAAAAATAGTATATCAGTCATAGAGGTAATTTTTCTGAATTATGACTCACTTTACTTTCGATTACTTTAAGTGCATTTTGCCATTAATTCTTATGTACTTTTACTTTATTGATGAAGATTTTACATAGAAAACATGATGAGCTGCATAGTTCAGCCGCTGCTGCTTTGATTTTGTCTGCTCTTGTTCAAATGTTTTTAATGTGATGAGTTATGATGAGGAAGACTATATACTTTGGTTATAAGATAACCTGAACAAGACAGTTAGCACATTCACATCCAAGTACAAAATCTAATTTCAGCAGGTTCAGGTATTTTTTTTTTTCTTTGTGAGAATCAAACTGAAGCTGAAATCAGTTCATTTCATTTCATGCAGTCGAGGCTCCACTTTGGGATTTCCTCACCTCAAGCCTTCATGTCCATATAAGGACGAGAGGACTGGCAGCTCTACCTGCTTCAATATGCTTTTTATTACTGCTGCCTAGTTTCTGCTGCTGGACATTCTTTTTCAATGACAATATTAAACCCTGGTGTGCTGCCAGATTTGTAAAACTTTTTCCTTGAAATAAAAAGTAAAGTGTTACTAATGCTTCCTGTTGTTTGATATCAGTCTTTCTGATCGCGATGAAGGAATCTGAACCCAGCTCAGACACATTGGTAACTATTCAAGAACAGACTGCTTCAGTTCAGGTTCTACCTCATCGTCTCCAAAGGCTTTAAGTCAGGACACATACCGTGATGAGATCCTGAGGCCCATTGTCAAGCCATTCATCTGCCGCCATTGCCTCGTGTTGCAGCATGATGGACACATCTCAGTTTTGTGTGTGGCCTGTGTCGTCACCAGACATGTCACCCGTTGAGCATGTTCGGCGTGATCTGGATCTGTGTGTGCGAGAGCATGTTCCACTTCCTGCCAATATCCAGCAACTTCACACAGTCACTGAAGAGGAGCGGTCCAACAATCAACAACCTGATCAACTCAGTGTTGCACTGCATGAGGCAAATGGTGATCATACTGAATCGTTTTTCTGATCCACAAACCCCCCACCCAAAAAAAAAAATCTGTTGCTCAAGTCACACAGCTCAGTACCCAATAAGTGTCTTTTTTTCAAAATAAAACTGCACATTTTAAAGTGGCATTTATTGTGACCAGCCCAAGGCACACCTGTACAACAATCATGCTGTGTAATCAGCATCTTGATATGACACACCTGTGAGGAGGATGGAGGAGAAGTGCTCACTAACACTCATTTAAACACATTTGTGAAGAACATTTGAAATGAAGAAAGAAGCCCTTTGTGTGTTCAGAATAAGATTTTTAATTTCAACTCATGAAAAATGAGAGCAAAAACAAAAGCGTTGCATTTATATTTTTATAGTGATATAGTCATCAACAACTATTGGATGGATTTACATGAAATCTGGTACAGATATTCACATCATAACTTTACCTCCATCGTCAGATCAAAGTCTCTGTGTCCAACACTTTGGTTTATGAGCAAACACTAAACTAAGAGGGTAAGATGATGAAAATTATACCTGATTATATCACCACGGTAACATCATTGTTGTCAGCATGTTAGCATAGTTATGTTAGCATTGAGCCGGCACATGTCTGGACAGTTCCTTTGGTTAGCAGTGGTCTCCGACTTATTCTCCCACTCTTTTTGCAGACATCAGCTGAAGCCTGAGAGGCCTGCAGCTCTTTAGATGTTCTTCAGGGTTCTTGTTTGACTTCCTTCGAGAAAAATCCTGAGAAGATTCACCATTGCTCCAAGACTTTTCTGTTTGCCAGTGACAGCTCTGACTGCGTGATTCGGCACAGAACCAGTCACTTAGAACATGTGTTTATCTTTGGAGTTCCTCTTGAGAGGAGCATCATTTCACTGCAGGAGCTTTGTGCTGACTGTTTCACTCTGACGGTCAGGTTCAATAGGAGTAAGGTTTACACTGAGCAGGGCTGCAATCAAGCCTGGCTGTGTTCATATAATTAACAATCAAATTCAGTTTTTGATTCCTTTTCACATAAATTTGTCCCTTTAAAACATTATATAATCATTTAGAAATATGTCCCGTTTGTCTATTACTGCATTTTGTCTATAGAACCCATATAATTAATTGTGACAAATGTGCAGTAATATATACAGTATTAGCCACTGCTAGCAGGATGTGATCTTTATGAACCATTATTGTCCTCTTCATCATCTGTTTTGATTAGATAATGCTGAGACTAACTCAGTGGTTACATGAAGCTTATTAAATATTCTTCTTTCGACCTCTCCATTGTTATGGTTACATTCAAATGAATTGCATAATTGGGAAATAATGAAGCTGAGGTTTGTTGGCAACAGAGCAGTAGATAATGTTCTAACAGTAGGAGGCTTGGATCAATAAAATAAGTTGGTTTAACTGAAAACCAGAGTTACTGCAGCTCTGTGCACATTAAAGACTTTAATTAGGAATAATTTAAGACTACCCTGCTTGCAAAGGGTTTTACAGTTTAACCTTTTAATTAAATTTAATTGAATCATGTTAATCTGCTCTCAGTGCCACCATGTTGTTTCACTGTGGTGAGACTTGACGCCGTGCGAAAGGTCATGAAACTAAAGGTCATAACCAGCAGAGTCTGTGTGATATTAAGTGTTGATGTGAATACATTTAAGCTGTGCATTATTTTTTAAATGAAGATCACGGTTTGTACGATGGAGTATCACAGTGGTCGTCATGCACCCGAGCTGAAAACATCAGGTTATTATCAGGATGTGGTCTGTGGAGGCTTTGCGGAGAGCTGGACTGGTGGGAGTGGCAACGATGCAACGGTATACTCTGTTAGAGTAAGCTATATTTGCAATATCAACCATAAACCCCATTTCGAGTTGGCAAATGGGTGTTGCAACCATTGTTCTCTGCTTGCAAGGCAAACACGACCCAGCCATCAGATATTACTTTCTGTCTCCAGCAGGGGGTAGAACAACTGCAAGTTTGAACAGACTAATACAGCTGTGGTGTTTTTAGTATTTCTAAAATAAATTATTTCACTGTGGATTGATCGAAAAGCAAAGTGTAAACCCAGGCGGGCCCTTTCTATGAGTCTACTTTCTCACCTCACCTTTTGTTACCCTCACAGGTTTGACTTCCCTGCAGGTTCTTCACACAGTCAGTGATCCTGTATCATCTCCTGCAGTGATAGATCCAACCACAGCAGCCATCAGAAAATGTGTCCTGACCTCCGGTGTCCTTGAGTTTGGGTCATTTGAGTCATTTATGCTGGCCAACCTTGACTTTCATTACATTTGAAGTCAGAGCCATTGGTCTGAAATCATTTAAAACAATGAGGCATGACATTTTTGGTGCAGGAGTAATGCACCATATCTTCATCATAGGTTTCTATCACCATCATAATCACCCCCACACAGTGTAGATAGGAGCTTCATTCAACACTCTGCTTATCACTTCCTGTATAGATCCTTGGGGGGAAATTATACATGCCAAATGTGGGTTGACTTTTTAATCATATAGTAATATGGAACTGTTTCATAACTCTTTTATAAACATTAAGGCTGCCACTGAATGTGCATGTTTCCACTAGAATATGGGTGTATTTGAAATTGATTTTCTAGGTCCCATATTTTACAGTTTTCCAGTGTTTTAATTGAAGTTTTGATATCTAGAAGAAGATACACTTTTGGTTTTAAGAAAACTATCTCAATGTAGTTTTACATCTCCTTTCTCAGTTCTTTCCCTGAAGCTCTGGTAACAACAGGTTGATCAGACAATCAAACATCATTTCAATCATTTTTTTCAGATCTCCAACTCCAGGAGGTGGTATCATTCCTTAACAGTGAGTAAACAAGTTTGCAGTCCACACACAGCCACAATAATTGCTGGTTTTCAGTGCAAGTGTAGCTCATAAAACAACACATAAATGATCGATAGAAGAATAGTGGTAAAAAAAAATAAAAAGCTGAAAGTATTGTTGGAGACACTAGTAAGAGTCCTTAACAGAGGTTGAATAAAAATATAGCAGATTTCAGGTAAACACTTGCAGGTTGGACGGTGGGTCCAGGTGGACCATGCTGGGGGCATAGTTGACAGTTGTGACTGCTTTGTTGTGACATCACAAAGTCAGCTCTACCTCAAAGTCCTGACAGCTTGTTTTAAGGGTCAGTTTCTGAGTACAGGCTGTGTGCATTTCTCTGTGGACTGAGCGCTTTGATACTTTCACAGTATTAATATAGAACCCAGACCTACTTTATAACCAAACAACACATGGACATCTGCCTTTATACAGTATGGGACCTTTAAGGCAATTTCTCAGGTGGCAAAAATACTAAGTCAGTTATCAATGCGTAAACCATATTTCAATATAAGTCTGTAACTATGCAATACAATTTCTCAGATTTGAGATTCCACTTATAAAAAAACTCTTTGATGTGAACATGGTACTTTTCACAGGTGTATAGAAATGTAGCAATGAGTCCTCTTTTCAGATATGTACCTTCAGTGCTAACAGTATTCATGAAATTTCCGACAGCAAGTGAAGGTAGCAGTGTTGAGTTCACGCCCCTCAAAATCCCTCCTCCCACAGACAGTAAATATGTGGAGTATGTGGCATTTTAGCGTCAGTGTAGTAGAGGTCTGGATACGCAGTTATCACCTTCAACTGCAGCTGAACACCGTTCACAGCTGCTTTTTAAAAACCTACGTAAAGGTAACTTTAATTTAATTCTAACATAATGTACTGAAACTTAAATGCTGTATGTGACAGACTGATTTACTGAAGATAAATAGGTTTAATGTAAGTTATGTCTGTTTATTTTTGTTGATGCCTATATTCGCTTCATTGAATGTGCTGTTTTGTTCACGTTGATAAGTTAGCTTATAAACTTAAGATAACTTGTGCGCAATAACTTCATTGCAAGTTGAAAATGTTAATTTTTACTTTTACAGTGAAAAGTTCTGTCAACTATTCAACACCTAGACAATAGTAATAACTTTTAATTAGCTGTTGTCTCGTTAAAATCACCTAAAACCAAATTATCAGGCTAACAAGCTAAACGTGCCCAAGAAAATAAAGGGTAGTATCAAAACATGCTAGCTTTAAATAAATATACAACTTTTACAATATTATAAATGCTAAAAATATAATAACAGGCTAACACTGCTTTGTGTTATAATGTGATTTATATCCAAAGTGGCAGCTTTAAATGTAACTAATAAAAAATATTTTAACAATTAAAATCCTGTGGCCAGCAGTTTCGTAAAATATCTTAAAGCCTCAGAACAATAGATTATAACCTTTATTCTAGCCAAGAGACTTCAAAAAAATTCAATATATTGACAGTATTTAATTAATCACCATTGACAGACCTGGTGCAGGAGCCACTGTTGAGGTTGTCAAAGGTCAGAGGGGTCACAGTGTGCACCCACAACAGTCATCTGAAAAGATTATGTAACAAGTGCCAGGAAAACATTAGAGAAGGGAACGAAGACTTTCTTCATTGGACTGTAATTAAATAGCAGATATAAGCTATTTTAAAGGCAGTAATCCGTTCCAGAGTTTCCACATTGAAAAGGTTAAAACAATCATTCTGCATTTAAGAGTTCAACAACAATAAAAAATGTCATTAGCCTTGGTTCAGTGGAACGATTCAGTGTCCAATGATGATCTCAAAACTGTTTTTTTGGGTCATACAAACAATGAATTCTGAATAAAACATGCAAAGTTTAAAGACACTGATTAATCGTTGGCAGTGTCAATCTAACTGTAATCAAAGACCCAAATCTGAACTCTTAATCTTAGTGAAGCTGTTTCTTTAAAATGACTGTGGTCGTAAATTAAAGTATTCAACACCAACTTTCTCATTACAACCAACCACTGCAGGAACTTTAAGAGTAATGTTAGTGGCCCTCTATTCCCCTCTCGTGTTTGGACCTGTCCTGCAGTCTCTAATCCAGCTGGGAGGAGGATTTACAAGGACAAGATTAGTAGTTTATACTGCTAAGTGTTTTCTTTTTCACTTAATTAAGAATCATGGAGCTTTTCACTTGAAATCTCTAGAGTATGATATCACAGCAGGCTTGCTTTGCGGTGGGTGATACACAAGGAAAGCAGCATATCTTAAAATGTTAAATGAGTGAGTTTGTAATTACAGGCAGATGCACATGTGGGTGCGTCATGTAGGTTACTTCACACACGCATGTATTCTTTGCTGTTTGTGTCTATACCCCGCAGCCACGGCCCGACAACAAAAGCCCTAAAGCACGGCGCCCTAAAACATTCCTCTGGGTATTAGTCTACCCTGTTGTTTAGGCCGACCTCGTTTGCAGTGTGTTTTTTTTTCTTTCTCAGAGTGGCAGTTGTGGCCTGCAGCAGTGGTTTTTATTTCAAAGTGTGCTACTGTGATTAGATATCCAGCAGTACAGGTCCTCAGAGGTCGATGCAGCTTTAAATATGACACTCAGTACTTCTCTGAATCAAAATCTACAGTTGATGTGCCTTTGAGCAGGGTATTTACCCCCAGTAGAGCTTATCAGGCGCTATTATTAAGGTGCAACCTCCAGGTGGAACTGTGTGTGAATATGATTGACGAAGGGTGTTGCTGAAGTTCACGCTCAATTTCACAGTCATGAATAGCATCGGAAAAATCGCTTTGTTTCCAAGGTTCAGATGAGGACATATGAGAACAAGCAGAGGAGGAACAGACTAAGTAACCTCACCTCATATCTTCTCTCTGCCTCCTGTCAGGACCACACACAATGCCAAACTGGGGAGGAGGCAACAAATGCGCAGCGTGCCGTGGGACGGTGTACCACGCTGAGGAAGTGCAGTGTGACGGAAAGAGTTTCCACAAATGCTGTTTCCTCTGCAGTAAGTGTTGCTGTTCGGATGTAACTGTATCATGTGGTATACCATTAAGTGTGAAAGACAGTATTTTGTGGTTATGCATGGTTTAACCCATGAACTACACGCTTCACTGCTTTCAAAGCATGCCACACATTTTTATAGTGATTTCCCACGATGAGACAGTCAGTGGAATCAGCACTTTTTATTGTGGTTATTGTGAGATGGGTACTCCGACCCTGATGATGTCATCAGTGTCATCTCAGACTGGATTCACAAACTACACATGACAGAAAACCTGTGTTATGAAGACAAAGGCATTTCCCAGGCATGTGTTACAAACTGGCTCAGTGAATGTGACAAGAAGGGAGTCCGCCAAAAGCTATACTAAAAACAAACTATGTATTACAACTAAAACATAAGACAAATAAGCAATGAGGTGTGGAAATCAGCAAGTAGAAAGCAGTGCATGGATGAGTGGCACATGTGCTGTAGAGGTGTCCTAGGTGCAAAAGCAAAACAAATGGACGTCAGCAGTTGGAAGGGAGAGGACAAGCGATCACAGGGGAACCAGCTTTTATGCTGTGGAAGCCCCAGGTGAACGGCATCAGCTGACGACCCACCCATGTCAACAAATTGCCTGCTGATGTGGGCCAGGACAACCTCCAAGACAATGGGAGGGGTGTCTTATGAAGAGACATTATTAAGATGCATTATGGGAAGTGGAGGATCCAGCTTTGGCCATTATACTAGGGACTAAAAGTGAAGATGTCTGAGGCTCTGCTGCATCGACATTCATCATTCTTTATGGTAGAGACGCACAGATACACTGGATCAATATCTGCCGATACTGACTTTATTACATACGGGTCATAAATCTCTTAAACTCTCTAGAACAAAATGTTTAAAATATGCATCAGCCTAAAAAAGCAGACTGGTGTACACTCTCCAGTTATAGTTCAGAAATAATGTGAAGTTTTTACTTTTATAAAATGGTCCTCCAGAGGTGGTGAGGTAGTGTTACACATATTTTAATCTTGCAGCAAAGAGAGTATCGGTATTGGATCTGTACTGTGCAGAGTTTAGCTATTGGAAAAAGTTGGAGCAGTGAATCCCTGGTTCTTGTCATGATACTGCGAACAAAGACTGATTGGGAAACTCTTATTGAGGAAAGCTAGAAATGTCATCAGAAAGTCAAACCAGACAAACACTTTGAAAATATGAACTTTGACTAACTGCACATTTTGTTTTTTTGAAGAAAATATCTTTTCAAGTTCACTATCAAAGTTCTGTGAACTCTGCTTCACCTCTCCGCAGCGCATCAAAGAGAGCTTGTACTGACATTTCTCTCAGAGTTCACACTGCATTATTGTCAGGTTGCTGGACGAGTGGGCGGCCTGTCCTGCTCCTGAACCGTTCTTGAAATGTCAGTGAAGATTGTCCCTCGCATGGAGAACAGGATTTATACTCACACTGCCATTAAGAAGAGACCAAAGCAATCTGAGCCACAAAAGATGAGTTTATTTTTTCCAGCGTTTCATTTACAAAGGCTGCTTTGTCTTACCACGAGGAGATGATGAGTGAGGGGGACTTGGTGTCCTTGGCTCTCCTTTGCCCTTTCCTCCAGTTTCACAGTTTGATATTCAACACTTTTGATTTCTGTGTATGAAAGACAGGAAAGTCACACAGTTGAAATCAAGCTTCGTATGACTCCACTTACTGTGGCTTTTTCTTCGTTATTTGTTAATACTCGATTGCCAGTGGCAACGCAAAAATTAATTAATGTTGGAGGGGAACTGGAAATACTCAACAAAAACAAAGAGAAACCATGACAACTGCAACAAAGGTGGTTAAGCAAATATGAAGACTAGGAGCCATTTGATTTGATGCAGAGAAATCATCTGACAAGCTGCCAGAAGCTTTTATTTTGAAAGTGTTGGTCATCGAGATCAGAGATGTGAGTGGAGACATTTTTCAAGCACGACATAAAACCTTAAACCAGTTTCAGGTGGTCACACAGTGCAGACCAGGGTGTGAAGAATTCAGTTGTCTGAAGCAGCTGCAGTTCTTTTGTGTTTTTGTTTTTTTCAGATAATGCTTAATCCATAAAAATTAATTCTTCAACAACATACAGTAGCTGTTGGAGTTTAAACTTCAATAAATCCAGAACTGACGTCAGGAAAACCAGTTGTGATGATAAAAATCTGGATAAAGAAAATATAGTCCCAGTGCTGAATGTCTTTTCCTTCTCTGCATATGAATATTTTTTGCCTTTAGAGTCTTAAATTATGTGCACATGCAGTTGGAGCAAAGGGAATGTCACACAAAAATCCCCAAAGCTTAAAAAAACATCACACTCTGGTGGAAAAAAGAGAAAAGATGTAGATGACAGACACAAAAAGTCACATTTGAGATGAGAAATGAAAGATGGCAACTCCCCAAGTATCTTTTCCCTTCAGGTTTAAATCTCTTGCCTCTCTCAAGACACTTCACATTAACCAGATGTACAGTCTGTACGGGACTGGAACAGCCAAAACTTTCTAAAGACACATTTTGTGGGCTCACTGCTTAAAATTTGCAGTTGCAATATTTAAAGCTGAAATACTGAGAGAAGTTGAAGCAGCAGTTCAAAGAGAAAGGTTGAAAGACGTCTGAGTTCAGGTTGAAGTGTCAGTGTTAAACTGAGCTTGAAGGGTCAAACATCATCAGGTGTAAAAACTGTTTCTGTCTAATTCAAGTGCAAACTTTCAGCAGAACATTTTCTAGTTAAAATAATAATTCCACTGCTACTTTCTGATCACAAGAAGATACTGTTCGTCTTTAGCCCCTTTTCCACTGGTCAAAAAAGCCGCTAAGACCCGCTAACATCGGGCTTTTGTCAGCAATAGAAAAGACAATAATCAGCGCTTTGTCCCGGGTCAGATGAACAGTAGACACAGGTATTTATCGGCTCTGGTTCTGATCAGTGATGTAAAACACAACACCTAGTTGAAGAAGATGTAAATTTTCACTCTTGTTCTGCTGTAACGTCTTTCAGAGCACAGACGCTGTAGACAGTAGACCTGTCACCTGTCCAGCACAGTGCTGCTAAACCAGAAACACTGCCGCTACACTGCACTCTGATTAGATTAGATTAGAAAGTCTTTATTGTCCTCGAGGGGCAATTTGGTTTGCAACAGTAGTCACCAACACAACCAGTGCACATCATAAATAAAGTAATACAATAAATAGATACATAAAACCATCTAACGGACGGTAGATTTCATCATAATAAATTACAGTAAGATATGAGGCACCAAGAGCCTGTCAGTATTTGTTAATTGCAATGACAACTAGGCCAACAGCTTGTTTAAAATACCAACAGCTGACGGAACAAACGACCTCAAATGTCTGTTTGATTTGGCTCCTAGGGAAAGGATACCTCCTTCCTGATGGCAGGAGTCGAAACTCTGCATGGAGAGGGTGATGGGAGTCCAGCAAAATGACCTTTGCCCTCTGAGTGGCTCTGACTTGATAAAAGTGGCTGAGATCTGGGATGACAGAGTGAGCTGCAGCCCCGAAATAAGTAAATTATTATATAGACACACAATCACCAATCAAAGCATCTCACACGGAGGCTCAGACACTTTTCCAGGAGCACAAGCCTGGGGATGAGATGTGATCTGTTTTACCAGTTTGCACGGTGGCTAGCAGTTCACTCTCTGTCCTGCATCTGTGTGTGTGCTCTGTAAGTGCATGTGATGACATCACTCCTGGCAGTTGTATGTGTCGTCTGTCCAAAAAGAAAGGAAAACTCAACTGGCAGTGAAAAAGGGGTCAATCGGGTTTTATTAGCGAGTTTACCTGTGTTTAAAAAAACGGCTAATTGTGGTGTAAAAAGGGTGTTAGTTAGCTGATATGATTACTGCAACTCCCTCTCTCTCTCTGTCCACAGTGGTCTGCAGGAAGGGCTTAGACAGCACCACACTGGCTATTCACGACCAGGAGATCTACTGCAAGTCATGCTACGGGAAGAAGTACGGCCCCAAAGGCTACGGCTACGGACAGGGGGCGGGAACACTCAACATGGACCGAGGAGAGCGGCTGGGAATCAAACCTGAAGAGTAAGCTGGGCCAGTGATTGTATATACTGTACAGAGGTGCTCTAAATCCTTCAAGTCACTGTGACTAATTGTGACCAAGAGGATAATTTCTGGCAGACGTTATTTAATGGATGCTGTGTGGGTGTGTCATATGTGTCGTAATAATTACAGATGTTGTCATGCAGAGCTTCATCACTCTGTACGCTGTTGTTCAGACTTGTGTTGACATCCAGTTGCTGCCAGTAACCATGAAACGACTTTAAATTAGAGCTGCCAGTTTTGCAATTTCATAGCTTTAGCAACACAAATGATGCCTTGACATGTCTAAATAAAGGATCATTCATCTGACTTCACTGCATAATTGGCTGCAACGAAGTTGACAAGGTCAGTGAGTTCAGGGCACCTTAAGTATGTGGCAAGAGACCAACAGTGCTGTTGTCTCCAAACAGGATAAATGCAACGAGTCAGTAGAGAGTCAGTCGTTCCGGAGATGGTCCAGGAAGTAAAAGCTTAAAGGTTTTGGTTCCAAAGGAAGACAGTAAACTTGTACCAGGTCTTTGTAAGGATTACCAGATGGGAGAATGGTCAATAATAAAAGATTATTACGTTGTTGATGTTCGAGCACGAGGCAGATGTCAGATCAGGAGTCTCGGGAGCCAGATACATGAGGCTCGAGTCCTGCAGTTTAAAGACATCAAACCTTTTCTGCTCCTCGCTGCCTGAACCACGAGGCTCTGAGAGAGGAAAGAAACCTTGACGGGAAGACTGGCAGTCTGCCTCTTGATCAGATTCAGTTTAGCTGCAGCAGTTCCCAGCTGGTTTGGTAGAAAGTGGAGATCCAGGAGGAGAAAAGTCAAAGCTGAGGTCTGAAACTCGGATGATCCAAGAGATTAATACATCATCTCATAGATCAGGATCACTGCCTTCCAAGAGCTCCTACTACTGGCTGCTGAAAATGCAAAATTACACCCACTTCTGAGACCTGACATCTGAGAGACTACACATTTGTAACTGTGTGGGCACCAAAAAACAAACAAACAGGAAACCACAGCAGCGCCCACACACACACTCTTGTACCCTGAGTGTTTATTCCTGCCCCAGACGTCAGGTGATTATTGTTATGAAAGAGTTTATTATGTAACCAGCAAGAACCAGCTCACCCTCCTCTCTGTCTGTGGCCACAAAGGGCTTCATTCAGGGGCCACTGGGGCTGGCAGTCACCCTTCGATAAGCACCGTTCTGGGGCCCCAGGGTGCCCTGCTCGCTTTCCCACCACTGGCAGAGGAGGAGGGTGTGACAGTTTTATTTCTGGCCTGTTAGAATATTTTGACAATCATTAATAAAGGAGTTTGTCAGTAAATATTAATGAAGCACAGGAAGAACTTTGAAAAGAGTTAGCAGTGTTTTCAAGGTTTTATTTTAACTTCTTAAGGCCAGTATATAATATATAACTCACCATTATTTTTGTTTCCCTGCAGAGACAAGTTTCATTTCAAAATGAGTTTCTCTAAAAGAGTATTTTACACAATAATCATTCAAATTTAACCACATTTTAAAGGATCTGTTCAAGAATTTAAATGACAAAACAAGTATAGACTGGATAGTTACAATTATAAATACTGAATGATACACTTAAAGCCAAATTGCTGGATTCACTTTTGTTTTTTGGGAGACAATATTTCATCCTTGTTTGTCTCTGTATCTCCCCCCAGGACACAGACTCACAGACCCACCACCAACCACAACCCGTCCAAATTTGCCCAGAAGTTTGGAGGTTCAGAGAAATGTGCCCGGTGCGGAGACTCTGTCTATGCAGCTGAGAAGATCATGGGGGCGGGCAAGGTGAGAGTCGGATCTAAAGCATCCTCTTAAGCCACTATTATCAATGTTTTATAGTTACAATGAAACAAGCTGGAATTATGCTTCTATTTATTCTTCTTCTGGCTGCATGTTAGCAAATATACTGGCTCAGCCAATCAGCTTGCTTGACACACAGGTCATCTGTTGTAATCTCTACCCATAAAACGCCTCTCTCCATACTTTTATCTGTGTGTTTATGTGTAACTGTACGCTGCCTGTCCAGCACCGGACTGAACACGAACACATTTTGCAACAAGCTGCCTGATATTTCTCTCAGGAGTCGGTGGAGAACAAATCAGAGCTAAAAGGAGAATGAATATTGTGTGTGTGCTCACACAATTTCCCTTTCAATCAGGAGAGACTCATCAGAGGATCACTGTGGGGAACAGTCCATAGGAGTAAGGTGCTTCCTATTAGAGGAATCTTCAACACACTGGTGGTGGTGATGAGCAGTGGAGCTTGAGGGTTGGAACGTCTTCATGAGAGGGAAACTGTTTTGATTGGATATGGTCATCCATGGTCGAGGTGGTGAAGGGGTGGAGGTGGGCCAGCGATTCTTATCGACAGCAGAGAGAGAGAGAGAGGACGCGTACGAGTGATTGACTGTAGGCCACAGCGTCAGGTTGTAATTGGATGCAGACGGGAATGAGCTGGTGGAGCGTAGAGAGAGCGGGAAACAGTGCTTGTGACTTAGTAAGCGTGGAGGAGATTCTTCCTGACTGAACAGTCACTCAGCTTCATATGTCAGTGTTGTGTTTGCACTTTGTTTCCACTCAGCCTGTTAACGCAGGCTTAAGTAATCAGCATGAATTGGTAATTTAGCTAATTTTGTCCAAGTGTGTCCAAATCCTCACATTTGAAAAGATGAGAGAGATAAAGTGTGTGGCATTTTTGCTTGATAAATGACTCAATTAATCAATTGGACAAATACTTTTCTGATGTTTGACTATACAATCAGTTAACTAATCACTTTATGGCAATTTTATGCCTTTGTTAGATAGAGATAGCGCAGACAGACAGGAGAAGCAGGGAGACAGTCGGGGAATGACATGCAGCAAATGGTCCGAACCGGGAACTCAGTTGAGAGCCCATTTGATATGCACATTAACCACTCAGGCATCAGGTCGCCCTTGACTAATCATTTTTGTATCATAGCTCATATTTATTTTACGACACAGTAAATGTAGCAGCGTGAAGTGACAGTGAAGCCGGAGGATGTTTGCAGAGTAAAACACTTTGGATACACTCTTCACTGTCAGCCAGATTAAACTGTGATATCTGCCAAGTCCACTCCTTAGCTTCCACTTGTTCAGCCAAGTTGCAAAAATGATGAGTCTTGGCTCATATGAGGATTTATGCGTTGTCATGACAACAGTGGGAGAGACTCCACAAATGTTCCTATGATTTAAAGCTGCATTGTGAACTTAATGGGGTTATGATCTAATTTTCAAATGTGTAACTTCAACTTTACAGAGCTACCATCACATACTGATTTAACCCCAACAGAAATCAGACCTCTAACCCAGGCTGCGTTGGTTCCTTGAACGCCACAAGAGAACAGGTGACATCACAAACCGCGTGGGTGAAAGTAGTTTGACTGCATTGAACACACATGGTTTTTACAGCGCACAAGATTTGGTGTGGCCGCTCCTAATGAGAGAACACAGATCCTGTTTTTCTGATTGAAGTTATTCCATAAAGTTTGGATGGGAGCTTCCTAACAGCTGGTGTTAATCGTGTGAGGCAGATGTTGTGGACACACAGATTTACAGTAGATGAAGTCATGAGGCTCTAACTGTAGCGAGATCTTTGTTCACAGAGGAGCAAATATTTCTGTTTCCTCTAAAAACGGGAGTGGACCGTTTCCTGTCGCTGATCACATGAGGATTCACACATCAGCTGATTTATAGGTGGTGATGTCATCGGGCGGGTAGCCGTTAATGTGTTTCCTAATGGGACAAAATCTATTTGAGGCTCCGCTCACGATCTCAAGCATAACCTGTAATTTTCTGTCTAATGAAGACATTCAGAAAAGCCCCCCGGCTGTGAGGAAACTGAGCTGCTCTGATGGGAAACAATGAGGGAACGCGATCCAGGAAACATGAGCAATTATCAGCTGTAAAAAACGCAAACAAAAGCTTTTCTGTTGGAGTTTTAACAATCTAAGGTAGATTTAGCATAAAGGCATGAAGACAGACTTGAACAGCTGCCACTGTGGGTATTAAATTAAAATTCTTTCTCTTCACAGCCGTGGCATAAGAACTGTTTCCGCTGTGCAAAATGTGGCAAGAGCCTGGAGTCGACCACCCAGACGGAGAAAGACGGAGAAATCTACTGCAAAGGTGAGACGAGGCTGGATATGTGCAGTGTTTCACTACAGCGCTACAGCTGCAGCTGTGATTTCCTCAGTCATTAATAAGATTTCACAGTATAACATGACATTTGCTTTAGCCAACACATGCACCGGCAAAACAAGAGCGGAATAAATCAACCATGCAGCACTTACATAGTGATGCAATTAATCTGCTACAGAGCGATCCAGCAGCAACACAATCTCTCCTTTAAAACAGATGAACATCCATTAATGTGTAATACATTCACTATGATGTGTCATCACTGACTACTGGTGCTACATTCAGTCATACTGGAGTTTCATAGAAGAGACCGGGACATTTGAAATCCTGTGACACCTAAACTAAATCTCTGGGAGAATGAAAATGTGGAGGGGAAGTGGAACCAGAGCCAGCAGTAACGTCAGGTTACAAGAAGACAGATGTTGAATAACAACATGAACACAGAGCAAAGCAAAGACTGATGCTCAGGTATGGTGTGTTTGGACTCCACGTTTCCAAATCTCAAATCAGGAGACTGACTGCTCAGGAAAGCTCTAAGAACAAGTTATGGGTGTGAGACCATGTGACTTTTTTAGTTATTTGACAGAGACATGCATGTTCCACAGAAGCTGAACTGCACCAACATTTCATCCAGCGTTATCATCAGGCCAAAGGTTCAATTTGTCCACTTCTTTGGTTTATGACCAAATACCTGCAAAACTCTACTTTGTGTTTTGAGCTAATTAGTAAATGTTAGCATACGAACACTTTGATCATGGTAAACACAACACCGGATTGACTTCAGCGTGTTTGCATTGTCACTGTTAGCATGCTAACATCATATTGATGTTTGCATAAAATCTGCCAAGTGGACAATTTCACTTTCACAATTCAACCATTGCAAACATTGTGACACTTGGCCCAGGTAAGGATTAGTGGATTGTCATGACAACACTAACGAGTCCTCAGCTAGTCTGTGTGCCCGGTGATATGATCTCATACCACAGACTTCAAGAGTGTTTGAGCACTATTGTGGTTTCACAGAGAAGTTTTTAAAGCTGAGCTGCTGTCGGTTGGTTGATGTGATCATATCAGCAAAAACAGAACTGGAGGGACTGGCTCTTATGCAACGATGTTGACAGACTGTTCTACTTGGTGTCATCCTGTTATTTGACGAGTGGTGTGTTGGTTTGGCTGGATGACACCAGCTTTGTCCTGCTCACAGAGCTGCTCACTGTCCACCAGACTCCAGTGGGCAGAAACATCTGCAGTCTGAGCTCCACAGAGATTGCTTTCTCCTCATCAGTACAATGAGACAGGATGAAAACACACACACACACTGATACACACATAAACACACACAGACCGCAGGAGAGCAGTGTTTGCTGAATGTCATAATGAAACCTTGTACTGATGAGGAGGAGGAATGTTGCATCTCGGCTTTAAACCCAAACAGAACCAAACTGCTGCTGTGATCAATCAGTGGTTCAGTCTCAGACGGCTCGCTGTCCACTCAAGAGGCATCCTGACTCTGTCTCAGCAGCAGCTGGATGTTGTTACTGTCATCATGAACAATTTGAGAGCCGTGACGGGTTATTTGTAAAAGAAAAAACTGTTTCCAAATGGTTTAAAACAAAAAAAAAAAAAATCCAGGGGTAGTTTGGAGAGAATAAGTCAGAAATTCTGCACCTCACTGTCGGAGCGCAACCTGTGCTGAGAGCTTATTTTAAACTTTACATGTTGATGTGAGAAAAACAGCTTGGAGCTGGGAAACTGGTTCTCTGTCTTCAGCTAGGACCTGCACACACACACAGGTGTTTTCTATCCTGGCTGATGAGACCTCTGCCGTCAGGTTGAAGGTGGAAACAGGAAGTGCAGGAGCATAAAGCAGCCGAAAAGTCAAAATAATCTCCTATTCTAACCACTTCTCCTTGACCTCCATGGAAAATGCCATGAAAGGAAAGATGTGAAGGAGACTTCACAAGGACTTAGGAAAGGACACAACGGTGTGGAGAAAATCTGACTGCACTTACACTTAAACAGACAAAAAGATGATGTTGTTATCTATAAATTCACTATGCTTGTTCTTCATGATGACTCCTAACTGGAATTTAAACAAAAAAATCTATATGTATGGATTGGAGCTCAGACAATCATACAAGGATTTCCATTTGTTTAGGAGTTGCTTCAGCAAAGAATTGTGGGACAGTGTATTCTCCTTTCCTTTCCTAAGGAAAGTCCAGTGTTTCCTATGCTAAAGGAGATGAGATAGGAAGCATTGAAGCTCCTTTACTTATCATTTAAAGAATTCGACCAGCTCTTATCATGACTGCCACTTCTGGGTCATTTCACTCAGTTTGAACCTTCCCTGGTCTTTTCCACAGACCACATGTTAACATGTCACAGTAGGAAAAGCAGAGTTCTATATAATAAAATAAAGATGGCTGAATTCCATTTAGCTGCTTCAATATCAGGGTCCTTATGCTGCTCGTGCTGACTCACTGTGATAAATTACATTTCTGCTGTGAACACTGGCAGCAGACTACCTGGTAAAGGAACCTGCGAAAGATGAAAGGGACATTTACACCAAAACACAGTGAAACATCCTGTTCCTCTCACCTGGACAGCTTTCAATCCATTGAGGTAACATTATGCCACTGAGCTGTAGCTCACCTCATCACACTGGAACTCAGTGGTAACTGGTCTGAGGTGCTCCATGTGACTAAATCTGATTGAGAATCAACATTTGAAAAACTCGACAGCAACCTCTCTTTCTAAATGGGATGGCATGATTACCCACAATTCCTTGTGAAGTTTTTTTTCCATGGAGACAGTGGGTAACTACACTGAACAAAACACAACACACTCCACCTGACAGGTGTGGCATATTACACAGCATGATTATTACCCAGGTGTGCCCTGGGCTGGTCACAATAAATGTTTAAAATGTGCAGTTTTATCACACAAAGGTAGCATGCATTTGGCACGCTGAATGTCCATCACAGCTGTTGCCCAGAAAATGTTCACTCCCATAAGTTTCTAAAAATGTGGCAGTAGCCAGCCCCTCGCTCCCCAGACATGTGACCCACTGAGTGTTTGGGATCATCTGGATCTGCGTGTCACAACAGCGTTTTCCACTCCCTGCCAATATCACACAGCCATTGAAGAGGAGCAGGCCACAATTCCACTGGCCTCAATCAATAACTTGAACTCTGTGCAAAGGCCATGTGTCACACTGCATGAGAAAGGGTGCTTTTATTGTGACCAGCCTGAGGCACACCTGTGCAATAACCATGCTGTGGAATCAGTGTCTTGATATGACACACCTGTGAGGTGGATGGATTATGTTAGCAAAGGAGAAGAGCTCAGTGACAGATTTAAACCCATTTAAGAGAGTGTAAGAGAAATAAACCCTCTGTGTATGTAGTAAAAAAAAATCATACATCTTTCATTTTGAATTCATGAAAAATGGGAGAAAAAACAAAAGTGTATCTGTTTTTGTTCAGTGTAGTTCAGTTCAGTTCAAACAGTGTCTACTCACAACCGTGGGCTCATCAGCAGTGAATCTTCTTCCTTACATGCACCATCCAGCAGGTTTGGTGAATCTGAACATGCTGTGACAATAAAATCTGCCTGTGTCTAAAATCTCTAACTCTTTCCTCTTCATCTCCACAGCGTGTTACGCCAAGAACTTCGGGCCCAAAGGGTTTGGATACGGCCAAGGAGCTGGCGCTCTGGTTCACGCTCAGTGATGACCTGGACCAGTCAGACCATCTCACCTTCAAACATTCCTCTGTCCTACATGGACATCAGCTTCTGTTTTCTACCTTAAATGCTTTGATGCTGAAATAGACGCTCATGATACGAATAAAAACATTTACGAACCAAACTCTTTCACATTTGACTGTATTTTATTATTAAAGCCATTAAAACTGAACCATGCCCATATGTTTACATCTGAAGCTGAGTTACAGTGATGTCTGAAGGTGGGCAGAGAGGCACTGAAGATGATTATGTGCTTTATCTTTTTTTTTCTCTTTTATTATCCCACGTGGTGAGGTGAGAGGGGAGACAGAGCAGGCTGCTGGAAGAACTAGTGATGACTGAAATGGCTTTGAATGTTTGTCCTGGATGAGCTGGGAGAAAAAACACAAGTCCACATTTAGCTCCTGTCACTCAAAAGGCCTTATTAGAACACAAGTGGCTCGTCACTGGTGGCGTGTTTTTGATATGAAATCTAAGAGCAGAGTCGTGATGTTTGACTTTTGTAGCTCACAAAACATAGCGACTGTGTGTCGTCTTTGTTGGGCAGTGACATCAGTGGTTAGCGAGATGGTTGGAGGTGGGAGTGAAACGCAGAATGATGACATAACTGTCCCCTTCTGATGATGCAAACATGAGGCCCAAACGTTTCCGAGGCCTTAATATAATATAACCTCCCTCTATCCTTAAAACTATTGCATGATCACATTTCAGCTTTTAGAAAACAAACAAAAAAAAAAATTTGGCGTCCGCCTTAGTTCTCTAGTGTCTTTGCTTTACAATTTGTACATCCAGTGGTATAACAAACCCAGCGATATATGACAGAAATAAAAAAAAAAAAACAGAAAAAAACAACCCTTTAGGATGACTACAGTCCACAAGCATGGAACATTCAAATATATTACACACTTGCACAGGAGGGCCCGACTGGAGATCTGGCGACCTGAAAGACAACGTCTACTAAACACACTGGATTTGAGAGAAAGAAACTAACAAAAAACAAAACAAAAAAAAAACCCCAAAACAAAACAAAACAAAACAAAACAAAACAAAACAAAACAAAAAAACAGACAAATGAACGCAATGCAGAAAAGTACTTGCAAATACTTAACATTCACTATATACAGACACGTGGCTTGCCGGGCTGTCACCATGGTGATGACGATGGGGTTGGATTGACATGGCGGAGGGAGGGGGGAGGCGGCAAGAGCCCAGCTGTCCCAAGCATCGTACATGCAGTGGAGGTTCTTGGCAGGGGGGAGGGATGGGGGTTTTGGGTATGTAGGGGTTAAAATGCCTATAGACAGCAGTGTCAGACATCACTAGAAGCTACAGTCATACACTTGGAGTATAGTCACGTGATTTTCTTCTTTCCATGTGGTTGGAAGAAATCCCCCCCCAAAAAAAAACAAACAAACAAACAAACAACAAAAAAAAAAAAACAACAAACAAAAAAAAATCAGGAGCACCTTCAACTAACACTGACAAAAAGAAAAGTAGTTACAGAGAAAGATATTGTTTATGTACAGATGCACATTCTTTACACTTCTGTCCATCCTGCTGCTGCTTCTGTGGAGCCGACCGCACAAAGGGGGGGGGGGGTCATGTCTGATGGGGGCCCCTCATCTTCCTCACTGTAAACAATGGAAGCGTCGGTGCGAAGCGGCGCTGCTGGGCCCTTCTGTTCATTAACAGCCAAAGGAGAAAAAACAAAAAAAAAAAAAACTACAAAAGAAAAAAGGATCAGTGCAATGTTGTAGGCAGACGAAAGACAAACAAAACATATAAGACTTTTACAGCTTCTTGAGAAAAACACACATGGAATGAACCTTTCGTGTAAACTCGTCTGTCCTTCGGCGGCGTTCTCGTTCTCTTCTACTCGTCTCTTGCTGTTAATAAATACACCTGCTGTACCTGTCTATAGAGGTTTATGGTGAAGTTCTCGGGCTTCCATGTTCAACAGCTACAGGTACGTCTTTAATAATTTTTTTCCTCATAAAAACCTACTCAGCTAAAATGATGTGAAATGTAAAAACGATGGCGCTAGACGATAGTTACTTTATCTATAAATAGTTTTAAAATAAATATACCTGTATCACATTGTCTGTAGGATATCTTCTGTCATGTTTACAGTGATTTGCAGCTGAAGAAGTCCCATTTCCCGCACTTACTCCTGCTTTAATACTGCACAGCAACTGATTTCAGATTATTTCTTAGCCAAAAAAAACAAAACAAAACAAAAAAAAAACACTTCTTTATCTCCTAAAATTTCATTGTCAGTGGATGCAGCTTTATTTCAGCAGGTGAGAAGTAGGACTCCTCCAGCGGCTCAACCTGTAACCCAACACTTTCCTCTGATAAGTTCAACATTGTTGGCAAATCCTCATCAGCTCCATGCAAAATTCATCTCGGTGCAAAATCAAGACCTTAAAAAGACATTCCCTTATCTCTATCATACTTGGAAACAAATGCATGATTTAAAAAAAAAAACAAAAAAAAACCAACAACAACATGTTTCCTTTAGCTTCCCCTGCCACCACAGTTAATTAGCACAGGAACAGCAAAGTTCCTGACCCAATCAAAAACAAAAAAAAAAAAAAAACAACAACATGTTTCCTTTAGCTTCCCCTGCCACCACAGTTAATTAGCACAGGAACAGCAAAGTTCCTGACCCAATCAAAAACAAAAAAAAAAAAAAAAACAAACCAAAAAAAAACCAACAACAACATGTTTCCTTTAGCTTCCACTGCCACCACAGTTAATTAGCACAGGAACAGCAAAGTTCCTGAACCAATCAAAAACAAAAAAAAAAAATACATACAGGGCACATCAACAGGGACACCATAAATAAGGATATAAAGTGGGAAGGGGAAAGAAGGATACTGCCACGTCATGGAGCTGCTGTCTCTGCAGCCTCATGTCTCCAGTACAAACAGCTTTTATTTTGAAATTCCTCACGTCCATCGGCCTCTCTCCTCTCCGTTCGTGCCTGGCAGCAACGTCACCGTCCAAAGGGCTCGGGAGAAGAGACGAGGTGGAGGGGGTTGGGTAGCAGTGAAAGTACAGTAATGAAGTCTCGATGTTGTAGAATAGTAGTAGTAGTAGTAGTAATAGTAGTAAAGGTGGTGGTGAGGGCAGAGAGAGGGGGGTGTAGCTGTGGTGTTGCCCTGTAACAGCATGCTAGTCCTGGCTGATTTTTTTTTTTTTTCCAAAGTCTTTTGATCGGTGAGGGAGAGATGGTCCAGAAAAGCAAGCGCTCCCAAGAACAGCATCACTCCGATATGAACGCCGGGGGGAGGAGGAAAGAGGGGGGAGGGTAATCCTTCCAAACTTTTCTTCCATCCGGCGACACTCGACTCCCCCCTGCTCCCCCCCCCCTCCCCCTTTCCTCTTCGTCGTCCTCCTCCTCCTCTTCCTCCCTTACACCAGCTGGTAGCCCGAGCCAGACGTCTGGTCGTATTCTATTGTGTACTGCGTGGTCCAGTCCACCGTCACGGGCCGGATCAGACCACAGCAGCGGATCTCGAAGAAATCTATGAGGTTTCGGATGCAGCCGTGGCTGTAGAGAGACAGAGAGGGAGGAACATGAGTGGCATCAGTCAGAGGGAACAGTGTCACTACTCCACAAGCAGTGCTGGAAGGGTGAAGAAAGAGTATAGATAGATATACTCTATATATATCATATATGCAGTTATATATGTGCTAACTAATCAACTAACAGTGGCATCATTAAGGAAACTGCATGTGTTTAGTTTACATGATTTATATGAGATTTCCTGCAGAAGAGAAAGGAGACACAGAGCTTAAGGTCCCATATAGTATAAAGATAGATAAAAAAGATAACTAAAAGATAAAGATAGCAGGTCTAGGTTCTATATTAATACTGTGAATTATCAAAGTGCTCAGTCCACAGAGAAATGCACACAGCCTGTATTCAGAAACTGAGCCTTAATACAAGGACTTCTGTAACTTTGTGATGTCACAACGAATCAGTCACTGCTCTCACACCATACCCCAAGCCCCCGCCCACCTGGACCCACCATTCAACCTCGTAGGATTTGGTTTCGCTGAGCGTTTACCTGAAATCTGTTTTATTTTTATTGGATCACTCAGTCAGCCAATCAGAAGAGAGGCTCAGAGCCTCTCTGGGAACACTGATCAGCCATGGTAAGAGAAGAGGTCCATGGAAATGAATAAATTCATGCAATCAATGTCTTTTAGGGAACAAAAACAAACTGTAATTTCGCTAAAAATCAACAGCAGCATCTCAGAAACAGTTTCCCATCACTCTGGTGAATCTACAGACACAGGGACTAGTTCCTCTGGAGAAGGTAGTTAAAAGAAAAGTTTTTCCTTTTCCACAGAAACAGCGTCATTGTTGCCAGTAAGAGACTCAGCTGTTAAAAATCTTGAATGCAATTATCTTAACAACTGTGAGCAACACAAATGAATTTTCATTCAAATCTCAGAGGCTATTTTTAAAACCTCGGCACATGAACCCAAAGAATCTGCAACATTTGGGTGAAGTGACCCATGACTTGTTATTACTGCAGCCCTGCTGAGATGATGAGACTCGGCTGTCTGTGATAAACAAATAGCAGAGGATCACTTACTTGAATGGGCTTTCGATGGACGTGGCTGTGACTTTAAAGTGCTTATATCTCCGAGCGTTCATCCTCTCGTTGGTGGTGATTCCTAGGGCGGCGATCTGAGACAGGCAGAGAGCAGAGAGGTCAGCCAACGTTTCACAGAAATAAAATCTGCTGAAATCCATACCGATTACAGCTTCTATCACTAATTACAGGCAACTAGACTCAGCCTGATGACGCTGGTGTATAAAAGGTGAATCCAGACCTGGTAGAGCTGACACATGATGAGCACGGCCACCCACATGAAGTGGAAGACGCTGTTGAGGAACATCCAGAACATCCAGGGGGAGCAGGAGGCGATCTGGGTCAGATAGAGCCAGAAACCATCCTTGGCGTAACTGGTGGCACAGTGGATCCTCCAGTCTGAGGGCAAAGAGGATGAAGTGAAGAAGTTAGAAGAGAAACAGAAAAGATTGTGAAGTGTGGAAGTTGGGCAATAAATGGAAAAAAAAAAGAAAAAAAAAGGCTTTTTGACTCACAGGAGATGCAGCCGTACATCATCCAGCAGATCATGCAGAGCAGGAAGAACAGGTAACCCATGAAGTAGCGGTGATTCCCACTTCCTGAAGAGGAAAAGAAACACGTCAGAGTCTATTCTCATCACCTCAGTTCGTCGCTTTGGCTGCCGCTGCCAACTGAAGTCAGAGTAAGACAAGTTTTTTTTTTATGTTACCAGCATGAGTTGGTCAATTCATGGACAAACAAGTAACACAGTCCAAAATCACCACCAACCAAGTTTCTCTGCTGTTTCTCTGGATAGTGTGCTGATAAGCAATGAGTCAGACATGTCTTCACCCTCCACAGAGACTGCAGAAGCTCCAGGCTGCACATCAGAACATATCAGCAACTTTTCTTTAGCTTCAGTTCAGTTTCAAGTTTCAGTCAGACCCAGACAAGAGTTTTTGTGCATCAAATCAGCGACACACAGACGTATCAGAACGGCTAACTCTCTCTCTGTACTGACAAGGTTTCAGGTTTATTTAGCCCCGCCCCCCGTCCCCACAAGTTGACAGGATTGGTTCCTTAGGTTTGTGATGTATGAAACCCTGGCTGTCTGAATGTGTTTTTATGAGACTGTCATTGGTGTTGACTGATTAGTTCACTCATCATGTCTGTATTATATAAAAACATCATATGGACATTAACAAGGTTAAATACTTGATTTTCATCAAAGGGGGGCTTTAAGGAGGAAAATGTTCAGACAGCTAAATGCTAACGTCACAATGCTAACATTTAAACGTTCCGTTCAGCTTGCTGACCATCGTAGTTTAGCCAGTGTCGGTCTGGAGTGGCGGGCGGATGGATGGACTGACAGACACTGCTGCCACTGCTAACATGGCTAAAAAGACTTCTTGTCCAATGGAGTTTTTATTTAACACAGTCATGCAGATGTGTGCAAATGAAGGAGATTAACAGCTGTAGAGATAAAAGGAAAGAACTGCTGACCTGACGGGGTGGCTGCGTGTCACACACGTCTAAACATTGAAGTGTTTGAGAGATTTCTCCTAGATCATGACTAACACTAAAAGCTGACAACTTTGCAGCTGCTTCAGAATCATGGAACCAGTTGCTATTAGACATCAGATGTTCTCCCTCCATCTTTATTTTTAAACCTGGAGCTAAAGATACATTTTTATTCACTGGCCTTTTTGTCTGTTGTCACGTTCATAATAGTGTATTTGCTCCTTGTTGTTTTCTTGTTTTTGTTAGTATGTTATGAGGATGTAGTAGTTTTCTTTATACAGTGTATTTATAATGATTTCCTTGTGTTTTACTTACGTTATACATTTGTTTTACTCACTTTTATTTATCTTAATCGTCCTTTGTGCAGCGCTTTGTTCAGCTCAAGCTGTGTTTAAATGTGCTTTAGAAATAAAGTTGATTTGACGTTGACAAGAGTTTAACAAAGAACAAACAGTCCATTTCTTCAATTACAACACAACTGCACTGTTGATTCTACAGTATAAACACACATAAGGAATTAGAACATTAGGATTTTAACTGAGAGGAAGTAGCACATATTTCACTGTCGTCCTGACATGAACTCAGAGAGACACAACTGCATCATAAAATACTTTGTTTCTGATGTCTAAAAACATTTTGAATCTTTTTACGGCCCCTGGTCCCAGCAGTCACCAGGCCGCACTCGCTGTTTGTTCAGACAGTTTCCTCACTTTAAAGCCTCATCCTGACCACCTGCTTTCAAAAATGGAAGTGCAACGAGCCCCCTGCACTCCTTCCTTCCCCCACTGTTTCCAGTCTGCAGACGACAAGCCTCAGCACACACACACACACTCAGGTGCTTCACTTGCGGCTTTCTAAGCGCCTCCTCACATTATTTCCCTCTTCATTTCAGACATTATTCATCATCTTGAGGAAGTTTTTTTTATGCGCCACTTAAGGTTTTTATGTCGTACTGGTTTTATTTTACAATCAGCCAGATATTACCTTTTACTTCCTCTGTGTTAGATCATGATATTTATTCCCTCAGCTTGTCTCTGTGTTGTAGCAGAACCAGAATAAACTCAGAGCAGAGCTTTTAGAGAGGACACATGTTGAATCTGGAGCCGATAAAACACAATAAAAAGCCACAGCTCTCAATCTGAGGAGGGAAATTGTGAGCAGCTGGTTGTTGGGAAGCCCATGTGTTTCTGCGGTTGTTGACATTCTCGTAAAAATGTGTGGCGTTGTTGACGTACCGACGCAGTTCCCCACCCAGGGACAGTGGTGGTCAAACTTGGCGATGCAGCGGTTGCAGACGGCGCAGTGTTTGGACCTGATGGGCTTCCGTATCTGTGAAGAAACACACACGAGGGAATGTTTGAAATGAAATGCCTTATCGTTGACGTGGTCCTCAGTGTGTGGCATCAGGGGGGGTGGACAGACTTTACCAAGCAGGTGCTGCAGAATATGCTCAGATCCAGGCTGCCTGTCTCTGCCAGCTCCACGATCGTCTGCAGGAAGGAAACAAGACACAAAGGAAGGATTTCAAGAAAAAAAATAGAAAAGCAGACAGAGACACGGCAGAAAAATGAATGAACGACTGAGAAATTCGTCTTGCTGAGGACTGTTTGGCACTTTAACAAAAGACCTACTGACAGTGTACAAGCTGAAACTCGGATTTCCAGCTGAATGATCACACTGGAGACTTGGCTGGTTCACAGTGAACTGGGACAAAGGCCACAGTGGGATTTACAGTTTAATTCACTTGTGAGTTTGTTTAGTTTATAAGGAAAAAAATACCTTTTAAAAGGGAGGCTTAGATTGTATCTACTCTGCACAAATCAGAAATTTGTTTCTGTGCAAATAAACTAAAGACACAAAAATCCTAATCTACAGGACGGCAAGAGGAGGAAGAGGAGCTTCTGCTTTGAAGCCTCTGATCTGAGGTGGCAGACTGGCCTTGAACTGTGGTGAGCCCTGAACTGTGCTAACAATGCAGGGTAAATTTAGCTCTTCATCAATCACAGGATGGAGAGTCAGGGGCCTGGTGAGAAGCAGAGGCCCCGTTGTCCTCCATTAGACTGTGATAATGAGGGACAGCGGGGAGAGAGGGGGGGGGGGGACTCTGGGCAGCAGGCCAGAGAATCAGCCACTGAAATGTTCACAGCTGAAGCGACATGTGGGGAATAAAAAATGTTTGTATGTCAAAACAAATGTGTGCAAAAAGCAAGTATCAACTACAGCAGACTTATTATAGTGATATACACCACAGAGATAAACAATGTCACACACTGTTTCTTGTCAGTTCACCTTTTTCTTCTGCTCCTCTGATGCCTTTATGATTCCTGGGTCAGACTTCCAAGACTTTCCAAAGTTGTAGAACAGAGCCAGGGTGTTTATCAGGAAGGGCACGTGGACGGTGGCGAAAGGCAGATGTGCAGGGAGGTTAAGGAAGATGGTGGACAAAACCGCTTCTTCTGAATCACCTTGCTGTTTGTTATTTTAACCACAATCATCACATCCCACACGATTTTAAAACACAGCACTACTACTGATGTACTGATGACATCAACTAACACATCTGCATCTAAATGTTACAACACATCAGGTGGTGGTTTAACTGGCTGCTGGCTGGAGCTTCAGACTGAATGGATTATTATTATTAACTTCCCTATTCAATTTGTAACTATGTGGAGTTTACAATCTTCTACTCTTTTATATATTAGATCATGTACTATTATAGTGAATTGATGTCTGTTTATTGTTATCTTCTATTTCACGTGGAATAAGCTGATTGGTCCCCATCTTACAGCCACTCCTATTTAAGATGGCTCCTCATTGTTGCCTGATGTAGGTCTAGCACTGAAACGTTGCAAAGAAGTTGTTTACCTCAAGTTAGACTGTGTGTGGGATTTTTTATTTGCTAGCAAGGATAGAAAATAACATGAATTAAGTATAATGTGTCTAAATTGAAGTGTTGCACGTGAATACTGCACGAGTGCTTAAACAACTATACACAAAGTAGTCATTCTGTTTAAATGAGGCATCATTTAAACTGCCTTCTTCAGGGTAGATGAACCAAGAAAGGTGGTTTTACCATTTTACAGAACATTCCACCGGTTTTTACATGTGCCTTTTGTGAGTCCACCAACTTAGTGGATGTGTAATAATAAATCGCTGCAACAATCTTCCAAGAAAAGATTTGAGGATGGAAGCTGGCAGAGCTCAAAGCTTCCATCTGTGGCAGGCGTGTTGCATTAATGTGTCTGGATCCTGGTCCAGGCTTAAAATGAAACACCTGCACTGTTACTAACACGAGTTTATAATATATGCCAAAATACATACGGACGCTAACTTAATCACAGGTTTTTGCAGATGTTTAACAGGTGCAATGTTCATCATATTTACCATCTTAGTTTAGCATATTCCCATGCTAACATTTGCATTTAAACACACAAAGTACAGCTGAGGCTGATGGGAATATCTGGTCATAAACCAAAGTATAGGACAACTTGAAATTAAATCAAATGAAAACCTAAGGAATCATTAAGCATGAATAAGTGGAATCATGAATGGTTGAGCCACTGATGTGATCATGGCGGCACTAGAGGAAAGTCAGGGGATCACCGATAGGATTCATCCTTGAATGTCTGTCCCATATTCCAGTAGCTGCTGAGATATTTTAGTCTTGACCAAAGTGGTGGACCATCTGCCATCCCAGACACCACGCTGCTAGACTGGCTGGAAAGTAGTTTTTGATGGACCAGACCTATTTCTTTCATCATCTCCAACCAAACCAGATCATCCCCTGAATCAAATGGTTGGGTGTAGCTTCACAAATGAAAGACTAAAGCTGGCGTTACTAGGCACCGTGTTCCTCCACTGTTGGTACCACGTGCTTTATATCAAACTGAATCTGTAAAAACACACTTGATGTGTACGCCAGCCGTGAAAGGTTACACCAACAACCACACCACATGACACTAAAATCCTCTGAAGCAGCCCTAGAGATGTGTTGGAAAATTAGCTGCTTGTAGCTATTAGAGACACAGGCGTAGAAATAACATGCCCCAACATCAACAGCTGTGGTTTGTTGGTGAGCATGAACCAATAGCTTCTGCGGTTACCCATGCAGCACAGTTATGATCTCATTGATAAGCTCTTTCTTTGCACGGACAGAGTGAGAGAGGCCTCAACAAGTCCCTGAGGACTACATGAAGTCATCGATCTTCTTAAGTGTCTCCATAAAGTACTGGGTGTTGACAGAACCCACATCTGAAATGACCCGATAAGTAAAACACTGTCTGGAGCGGCTCGCTGGTCGACTCGCTCAACGACCGGCGGAGTGGCAGAGGTAGCGCCGGTGATCGATGCTGCAACTCCAGACAAATGGCTTTCAGTGCTTCTTCAGGGAGTGATAGTCAGCACCTTCACGTTAGCATTTATCTCCTGAAGGGCTGCCCACACAGCAGACGCCCTGCCAGAGGGTCAGAGGTGGATTTATCACGGTGGTGTTTGAAGATAATAATCTGCAGATATAATGAAGTTATGTGTGATACAGTGCAAAGCTCAATGTTTTTTTTTTTTATTGCTGCTACAAATTAAAAGCTGTTGCCGTAGACCGTGAAGGCCGAACCGATATGAGACGGTCTGGCCTACAGACGATTTTAGCGCGGCTCCTGTCGCATAGCAACCTTGACAACGTAACTTTTTTTTCACAAAAACTGGAGGTTTTAAGGCCCTTGGTTCCATTGAATTGAGCTGAAACCCAATACTTAAATTTAAAGGTGTAATCCTCACGCTCTCTGCTGGTGTTTGCTTCCATTACAGATGCGCAATGAATCTTGGGATAGGTCGGGGGCCACGAAGGATTCACCTGATGGAGCCTTCGTTGCCCAGGAAAACAACGATGTGTTTGAAGGAGCCTTCGAAATAGGACAGACTAGTCGCACCACCGTGACGCAATCAGTCTTTAAATGCAGCCTCCGAAGGATGCAGCCCCTGAATTGTGACACAGTCAAAGTCTTCTTCCATTAGTTTTGCTCCGACTCTTAATTCCAACATCATCATTCTGTCATTTTCTAACATTCGTCTGCTGGAAATGCACTTATGAGCGAACCCTTCCCTCCTTTTCCTCCTGAGAAATGAGGAGAATATGATCCGGGCCGGGGGAAAGACAAAAAGTCTCATCACACAGCTTGAACCTTTGTCATTTGATCCGATTTCAACCACAGGCCTGAGGAGGACGATGAGCTCACAACGTCAGAAAGTGGGTCAGAAACGGCCGACACAATGTGTGAACCCGGAGGGCAGAACAGAGATGAGCAAAATACTAGGCAGCATAAGTATACGGCCTGAAAGAGAGTTGATCAGTAGCTCTTTGTCCTTCTACACTGTTTTAGCTCCTCACATATTGGAAACCATTCAGTGAAAATGTCTCCTTCAATGTTGGACACTTTAAACCAGATGTGGGAATCTGTCCGCTCTCAATTCTCATCTACAAATCCAAGTTCAATGGAGGTTCACCAGAACTACAGGCACGTACCAAATGCAGAACTCAACCAGCGACCCGTGCTGGGCCTCAGCCCGCAGTTTATGTAACCAGGCTCTGAAGGATCAGACAGAGTAAACCGATTCCTCCCTCGACACCACAGACAGGAGATTGCAAAGGAGGCGGTTAAAAGCATCACCGTGCTTCGACTGAGGTGCTGTCAGATGGTTGAAATGTGGCTGAAAGCCTCACACATTTTGGATGTCAGATTTCGGGGGGGGGGGGGCTGCCTTCAATAATTCTTGATGGAAATTTCTGAAACTTGAAAATCTCGCCCGCATCACGCAGGAGCACGCTGAGAAACTACAGCAGGGTCTGAACTTCTCTATCAAGCTCCTGTTTTTTTATTCTTCACACAACTACTTCTTTCACTTTTGGTGTGTACAGCAGAGTTGCAACCATTACTTGGATTAGATTGAATCAGCAACTATTCTGATAATCAATCAGTCATATTTCAAGCAAAAACGCTGCTTCTCAAATGTGTTGATTTGCTTGATTTTCCCAGTCACATATGATAGTTCATGAAATATCTTTGATGGGCGGACAAATCAAGTTCTTGCAGGCGGATTTCACTACTTTTTGAAAATTCATTGAGTTAACAAGTGATCGATTAACCAATAAAATAATGCAGATTAATCTATACTAATTGGCCATAAAACTAAGGTGAAAGACGTCCAGGAGAGAGGGAGAAAAGTTCACCGTTATCCCCTTATTCAAACGATCATTCTATCTTCCCTCTCTAGAACAGCAGTCTCTTCATCCTGTTCAGAACATCTGTCAACAACTGCCTTCAGACCTGGTGGGACAACACATCATACATTCTAGCTCACCTGGACCTTAACTGGCTGTTTGTTCTCGTGGGTAGAATAATTTGTTAACTTTAGATTTATTATTAACTAGTAGTTAAAACAAGCACAGACTCATCCTGTGCTCTTCATGTGCACACCACATGATTTGTATAAATGTATGCGATTAGAAAGCGCGCTGCCACCTCTGTGAACTACTTTGTGTGTATGTAGACGACTGGACAAGAAGCAACTGTTCACCTCACATGTTCAAATGAGTGACTTAACAACTTCCAGTAGGTCCAGCTCACAGCTGCAGCCCTGCAGGAGAAAAGATAAACTCCCTGTGCTGCTGACAGGAACATGAAGCAGCACGTCTGAACTGAGAAGGCCGGAGAGACACACACCACTTCATGGCAGATACGCAGCCGTAACGACGGCCTTGATAGCTGGAGGGCAAAAGAGAAGTCGTTTTTCCAGAGGCGAATGTCTTTCACACAAGAACGGACCTGCCTGCAGTCAAAAGGACAACTTTCCATGAGGTGTATGAGCAAATGTTTTACAGTGCACAGGATGCAATGTCACCAAAACTTTGCTCTTTGATGATGAATGCGCGATTGAAAACCTGGCTTATGGAGCAGGTCAACAGACGAGTGACAGATTACAGGAAAAACCAATACGAGGTGTCTCAGTGAGGCGGTGAGTCACCACGAGCTGCGTCTAGAGTCTCTGAACTCTTCTGGAGGGAAGAACCATTCTTCCCAAAGACATTCCCTCATTCGGTGTTTTGATGAGGTGAAGTGTTCGAATGGGTCGAGATCTGGTGACTGACAAATCATTTTCAGACTCATCAGAACATCAGTGACCCCTCGTGCCCTGTGGATGGGGGCTGTGTCGTCTCGTCTCTCACTCGCTCTTCAGGTTTTTTCCCCTTTAATCAGTCACCATATTTACGTCCATCAATCTAATGTTGAGTAGACACAACATATACCATGAAATACACGTTCATCTCCAGCTGCATTTTTAAAACAAATGAAAAGATTTTCAGAGCACACCCTCTTTTTCAATAAGCTACGTGTGAAGACATCTCACTCTCCCGTCCCATTAGTCGAGCAGTGAGGCATAAAATGAAATGCCTTCCACAAATGAGAACTCCCCGCTCACCTCCTGCAATTAGGGGCCTCCAAACAAAAAGGCAATTCTACCATGAGCAAAAAACAACAACAACAATGTGAAAGAAGCCATGCTGAGGCCAACAGAAACTCTTGGGAGTCGATCTGTTGGGTTGCATGTCGCAGCTGTTACACACTAAACTCCAAATTCACAACAACCATTAATTTCTGCTCTTCACATGAACCTTTCTGACCTTTTGTCTTCTTGCAAAATACAATTCAAGCAGCAAAAATGAATGTTACAGGCCCATATTTTTATTGAGGTCCACCCTGCTCCGACATGATATTTATCATAGGCTAAAAGATAAATAATAATAATAAAAAAAAAAGCTCTTGGCTCAAGTTCTAATAAGCCAACAATAAATACCGGTAGTCCATTTTAATGAGCAGGGGACAGAACTGCAAGCTTTTGAATTGTTGTCTATTCTCCAGTAAAGACACAGCGTGTGCCAGGTCTTGAACCTCTGGCATTCTGCTTCATATACAAGTGGATTGTGGGTGAATTAAAAAAATTAAAAGATGACACAAAAGCCCCTCTGTCATTTGGAGAGGTGGGAAAGAGGGACAGAGGACCCGACTCTAACTTGACTCATGGCCTCATGCTGTGGGAGAACAGGTCATCGGTCATTGTTCAGTGAAATCCTCGGGGTTTTTTGGGATTTACAGACTCATTAGAAATCTGAAAGGTTGCTGCCAAAGTGTTTCTAAGTCGTCGAGCAAAACAATGAATCCTCAACGTCTCTCACACTGCACATCCCTCAGACTCAGCTAAATGCCAGAACTGAATTATTTAATTATTATTATCTAATCAATGTCAGTAGTATATGGTCTGCACTTATAGAGCACTTTTCTGTTCTTATCAACCACTTAAAGCGCTTTACAATGGAAGCCTCATTCACCCGTTCACACACACATTCATACAATGCTTTTTTTCCTACACACATAGTGTAGGAAGTTATTCACTGCTTAAACTAGGAAATTTAATTTTTGTACACAAAAGCCTTTTCACAAAAAGTTATAGTGCTCAGTTTTCTATCTGAATAGCATGGCTGGTGTCTTTCAGTAAGTAGGTGGTAGATGGTAGGCCGATTTGAACATAGCCAAAGCTAGCTGTCCACATTTCCCGTAGTCATGCTAAGCTAAGCTAACCGGCTGCATGCAGTAGCTTCCTTTTTAAGGCACAGACATTAGAGTGGTATCGATCTTCTCTTTTAACTCTTGGCATGAAAGCAAAAACCGAAATGTCAAACTTTTCCGTTAAGAAAACAAAGTCGAGATTGATTCAGTGTACGACAGGAAAGGATATCATTCCAGAACCAGTAGAACCAGGTGGTGTACATCCAGAACTTGGTGGCCAGGTAGATTCCCAGAGGGAGAGCGCTGTGCATGGAGTGGTCGAAGAAAGCCCTGAGGAGAGGAGAGGAGAGGAGAGGAGAGGAGTCGTGTTAGCATTGTTTTTTTGTTAAAATTAGCCATTATCTCATTTCTGCTCTGCACTTCCTGTCAATCAAATAGTGCACACTGCAGTAGAGTACTAAATCATCTGCTCATACTTGGCACAACCTGACTGGAACACTGTCACCGTCGCTGTTAAAGGGTAATTCCAGTTCATTACAACTTGGCTCTTATTATCGTGGTTTTGTTCAAATTATAATAAGTAAGACTTTTATCATCATTCCCACTTCAGACGCTGCTCAGCTCATAACTTAGGTGTTCAATACATCAAGGCATTCCTCCTGCAGATGTGCAACGTGCTCACTGTTGCACATCTGGACGAATGTATACCTGAGGCTTTGTTCCGAACGCTGCAGTCAGTCAGCAGCGAAAACAAACTGAACCGTGATCTGATGGTACACTGCAGCTGGACTCAACACCACTCATAATCCCAATTGTTTTTTTCACCAAGCAAGTATTCCAGGAATGTGAGTAATTATAAAGCTAACACACCGGTTAATGTATGTTATTGTCGTCACATAGGGAACAGCAGTGACAACAAACTGTACCAGCAGGACCAGATGGCAGTAGTAATGGGGTGTAAGCAAGTGCTGTAGTGTGTGTGTGTGTGAGTGTGTGTGGTTGTGTGTGTGTGTGTGTGTGTGTGTGTGTGTGTGTGTGTGTATTAGAGGGAAATGAAGGAAGAGAGTGTTAGTCACTGCATGAGAAATGCTGGCAATTACAATTTCAAAGAGAAGAAACAGAAATTTAACTCACAGTTCTGATACAACTTGTAAGTCATCTAATGTGCAGCTTCTACTTAAACAGCTAATTTTTAAAGCTCCATATTTTCCTCTTCTCCTGCGTTATATTTGAAGTGTTGATCCATAAGAAGATATATTTGTGGTTTTAAGAACCAAAAACCGTCTCAGTGTAGTTGTACATCTCCTCTCTCAGGCTTTCTTTAAGGTTGATGAGCCAATCAGAAGAGAGGAGGCTCTGATTTCTGCAATCTGATGATATTTGTAGACTGAAAAACAAAACAAAAAAAATCTTAAAATCTAGATTTAAAATGTCAATGACACCTGAAGTGTGCCCATTTGAGTTTAATCACAAAATCAATCAAAATCTGAAAAAACCTGTCTATGACCACATGAACATAATTAACTACTAGGTGTGTGTGTGTATTTATGTGACTGAAACATACTTGGAGAGGAACTGCACGGCGACCCAGACGCCAGCGTACATGATGCCCTTGATCAGCCACGAGTCTATATCCAGGTCGGCGATGAAGCCAACTAGCCAGATGACCACGAAGGGCGTTCCCAGCATCACCTTCTGCCTGAACTCCTGCAGAGGGAGAAGGTGGCAGGATAAATAATGGACGGAAGCCGGAAATAGAAAGGAGTAGATTGTTGGAGATGAAGAGAAAGCTGTGAAGATTGCTAAGAGACAGATGGGAGTTGGGCAGAGGAAGGAAGAGAGATCAAAAAGAGATAAAAACGACAGAAAAAAGAAGAAATTGAAAATACAGAGGAGGTGACGAGAGCGAGGAGGAAGGAGGAGGCTCACCAAGCATTTTGTAGTTTTAACATCTGTTGTAAAAGTTAAAATATGATCAATAATTCATGACCCTAAATACATAAATTACTGGGGGTTTTATTTGAAGCTGCAGTGCAGGCAGCAGTTTGTTTACAACTGAATGAGAAGAACTACAGCTAAAGGTGCAAAGGATCATGGTTAAAAACAAGCAACTTTAGCTTTATGTTCTTATCATAATAAATAATGCACAATAAACAGCAGACACAGTATAGATACTATCATTTTCTGATGATGTAAAAATGCTTGTGTATAAAGAGTGAAAAATCCTGACTCTGAATAAGTGAAATTTCTTTTTATAGCCCTGTGTAATTTTACACATTTGGGCTCTCATGAGCTGTGGAAACATGAAGAGGAAGGTAGGAAGCAGAAATCCAAGAAGGTGTAATAGGTGTAGTTCATAATTCTACAAATGGCCTATGAAGCTCTACTCACTACAGCACTCAGTGTGATGCAACTCATAGTCTACAGTTTACTAAATCTATAAACACAGTGACACATCATCATTTTATATGTGGAGAATCAATATTTCATTTCTTGTATGAAAAGTTTGTCTAATTCTATAATTTACCTTCATTACCTATTAATGTCCCAGCAGACAAGTGGAAAGACAACAAGAGTTTTAAGTTGCAGCAGTAAGAGGTTTATGCAAACATGGTTCTGAAAAAAATTCAAACAAAATCAACAATAGAAATATTCAGAGACGGAAAAAAATGACACATCTACCAGGTTGGGAAATCACCCACCACAGGCTTTGGCTGCATCACCTGCTCTGTCAGGCAGCAAAAATAAATATCTGAACATCCCGTTCAATCGAGTTCAGAGTTTGAATAGAAGACGTTCTTTATCACCAGGATGCATGTGAATGACCCCCCCACTGTGGTCAGACTAGACAGTGACAGTTACCTTCCTGCTCGGTTCCTGAAGTTCCTGCAGTCACATTGTTAAATACAACAGGTTGTTTAAGACCCTCTCCTTCCTGTCAGACTGTCTGAATGAGACGGTGAAAAGTAGTAAACAGCTGACAAACTGATAAACAAAAAGGTAATCACTACCCCGACATGCTGTGGCACTGCAGCAGTACTGGAACAAGCTGGTCTGAGTGTGTCTGTTTCAACTGAGATAGAAAAAGGAAGGCCACCCATGTTTAGAGAGCTAGACTTGATCCCACTGACGGGATTCAAAGTTTTCTGTCTCTCTAATGTTTTCAGCAGTTAATCTGTGACTAGTGAGTGAGTGAGTGTGAGTGAGTGTGTGTGTGTGTGTGTGTACCTTGTCCATCTTCAGTCTCTTCAGGTAGGACGGGCTGTCGTAACCTTTGGCCTGCCGCGCTTCCTGTAGGTGATTGATCATCCAAACGTTCTTCCTCTGCTTGGCGAGATCTAGCGGTGTTTCCCCCTGAACATTAACACGAGACCAGTTTGTACACATCCACCATCACTACACTCTGAAAACTCATTTCCACCATTCTTAGTGACAGTGTCAGGAAGGCATCACCTTGATGTTCTGTGCATCAACGTTGGCGTTGGCGTCCAGCAGCAGGCTGATGACAGTGGTGTTTCCGGCCAGTACCGCCCAGTGCAGCGCTGTGTTCTTGTGATATTTGTCACCGAGGTTGACAGAGACGTTGAAGGTTAGTAGCAGCCTGGTGGGATCCACACTGTCACACAGAGGAAGTCAATTGTTATTTATATAGCACCAACACACAACACAAGTTATCTCAAGGCACTTTTCAAATAGAGCAGGTCTACACTGTACTCTTCAATTACAGGGACCCACAAAGTACCACCATAAGCAAGCACTTAAGAGGCAAAAACCTCGAGCAGAACCGGACTCAGGGTGGGTGGCCGTCTGCCTCGACCGGAGAAATCAAGTCAAACTAAGTCACATTAGGTTGAAACTGACCTGACAAACATGTTGTTGAAACCATACAAATTAGAAACATGTTTTAAAAGTTAAAACAGATTTGAATCTGGTTCATATTTGATTCTCTCCAACTATCTCCCATTGGTTTTGTGAGTTACTACACATTTTTACATCAGCAGTAAGATCATGTGTGGCATCGGTGCACAGCAGCAGTGGGTGTGGAACAGAAGTGAACCACTGGAGTGCAACAACACTTTTCTGCCTTTTCTACTCTTTAAACTCAACTCACTAACAAGAATAAAGAAGCAATAGTAACAAGCTTATTACTGGCTGCTTGTAATATTGCTCCTGTACAAGTTGTAACATATTCCTCCTCTGGGTGTAACTCACTCACTCAGGGTGATGAAATCCAGCTAACCAAACAAATAAATGTCTGTGGTTAACAATGGATGTTTGAAATCATAAAATCAACACTTTTAAGAGCGAGAGCGAGACAGTGAATATGACAACTTCCATTATATTTTTTTGTGTACTTTCATATTTTTAATTAATGTGCAGCTTCTACTTAAACAGCTAATTTAAAGCTCCATATATTCCTCTCCTTCTGTGTTTTATTAAAAGTGTTGATCCATAAGAAGATATATTTGTGGTTTTAAGAACCAAAAACCATCTCAATGCAGTTTTACATCTCCACTCTCAGGCTTCTCTCTGGAGCTCGGTCGGTGAGCCAATCAGAAGAGAGGAGGCTCTGAGCCTCTCTTCTGATTGTTGAAATAAATATAAAGCAGAGTTCAAAACCAAATCCTGCAAGGTTGGATGGTGGGTCCACGTGGGTGGCGCTTGGGGCATGGCTGAGAGTGGTGACTGCTTTGTTGTGACATCACAAAGTTACAGAAGTCCTGATGGCTGGTTTTAAGGCTCAGTTTCTGAATACAGGCTGTGTGCATTTCTCTGTGGACTGAGGCTTTGAAACTTTCACAGTATTAATATAGAACCTAGACCTGCTTTATAATCAAACAACACATGGACATCTACCTTTAGACTATATGGGACCTTTTATTACTTCTTCTTCTACTTACTAAATCATGCTACACCTCTATTTTATGCTTACTGACATAATTACCCCTCATGGATGATTCCTGCTAGAAATTGCTTATCAGGGAATATTTAAATGGAGCTGAGCAGCAACACTGGGAATTGTTTCCCTGTGTTAGCAGTTTGTCTAATGAATTGCAACTCATTTACACGAGAACCTTCTGTGCGTGTGTGTGTGTGTGTGTGTGTGGCTGCAGTCAGCAGAAACATATACACACTGGTTTCACTGGACTTTGGCACAGTCTCAATGTTACAGTTTCTCCAGGCTCCAGGATCTTAACATAAGGTTCAAATTTATTCCACCTTTAGTTTGACCATGTCGTTAAGATTTCATGTGAAGGCCCACTGAGCCAAAACAGCAACTATGTGAAGCTGGATGTACTGTAACATACACACCTGTGTGTCCTGTAAGCCGCCCACATCAGAGGAGTCATGCCGTTCTGATCCATCATATCCACATCCTGTTAGAAAGGAAAAAAAACAACTGATGAACTGAGGAATCAATAAGAGGTGACAGGGGGACATGAGAGGCAATAGGGCTCCCCCTGATGGAGAGCACCGGTATACAACCCACATGACAGTGACACAAACAGGAACAAGAGATCCTCAAACAGTTGTTTTACATGTTTTATAAATAAAAATAAATAAAAAATGGACCAGAAAAGATTTCCTGTCTATTTTAAAGATTATTTTCTGCTACTGACAAATAGACTAAACTGTAACCCCTTCCTGCTGTGTGTTTCCTACCTGTCCTTTGGCAATAAGGTAGGCCACAATGGAGGTGTGGCCGAACTGGGCGGCCAGATGGACGCAGCTGCAGCCCTCGCCGTCGATCAAAGATGGGTCTGCACCGTATTTCATGAGCTGCACCACCATGGATAGATGCCCTTGTCTGGGAGAAGATGAACAATAATTTACAAGAGATACAGAAACTTTCTATGATGTGTGATACACAACTAGAGCCTATCGCCACTCTTTCCGAGGTTTGGGCTGAATAAAGCCGAAGCCATTCTCTCTTGATAACCCACTTTGATGCTGAATGGGAGATGAGAGTAAACCCAAAGATGAGGGTCTTATACACTTTCACATACGCTGCTATGATATTGAGGGACTTATTCCTGGTCTTGTCTCATCATTAAATGTCTCTCTGGTGATTTCTAACATGCTTTCATTGCAGTCCATCGTCATTTTTTTTATCCAACAGCCTATAGATTTTATTACAACCTTGTCTCCTATGTAACACCCCCCACCCCACCCCACCCCACCCCCCACGGCAATAAAGACTTGACAGGAAATTTGTAAAAAAAAAAAAAGAAAGAAAGAAAGAAAAAAAAGGAAGTGGCAGATGTATGTGTGTGTGTGTGTGTGTGTGTGTGTGTGTGTCACTTTCAGGACATAGAACGAGTAACTTGCTCTGTGTGTGTGAACCTGAGCAGACAGGGGCAGTGACACCCAGCACTTAGCTCTGGCATGTGTGTGTAAATGGCTGAGGTCATGCAGACAAGAGGCGACTAGGGGGCTTTTAAAGGTCACTGGCAGGTGGAGGGTTGAGGGGATTAGGGAGGTGGAGGGTGACACAGGACTCCCTATGTATCTGTGTAGCAGTGATGGTGCAGATGCCTGTTGTCAAACCTATCAATAATTCAAGGGGAGAGAGCTCCATGTCTCCCTCTCCTGTCTGCTTGAGAGGGAGGGAGGGAGGGAGGGGGAAACACCTTCAAACAAACGAGATGAGTTGGAGGATCTACTCAGTGTTGACAAGCAGTGAAATACAAATCCAATAAAGGAGAAGTTGATAGTGAAGGGTCTGCGATTAAGATCATAAACTTATGTTTTCTAAATTCTAAATTCATGGGCAAGTGGAAGACGGAAGCTAAAACTGATATTAGATATATTAGATTCAGCTACTTTCTGTTATAACTGGATCACAAAAACAAACGAGAAAGAATGAAAAGAAGCACTTCAGTAATCTGAACTATAATTAAATAAAAGCATCGACATTCTCAGGCCAAAGAAGGTAGAGGCTCTGTGGGTGAAATGTGTCACTCAAATGGCAGATATGTTATCTGTAGTGAGTTTGTGTTACCTGGTGGCCCAGTGCAGAGGTGTGGAGTTCAGGTCTCCTCCCAGCTGGTCAACTATGGCTCCCTTTGATATGTAGTACCTGCACATGCAAATACAGTTATCAGGTACAACTGTATTTACGATGCAAAACCAGGGTCAGAACATTCTATACAAAACAAGTTCCAGAGTTGTACTGCAGCTGTTGTGACAACACAAACATATAAAGACTAACGTGGGGTGAGGGCAGAAGTAAAAACACCACCATTACTGAAGCTGAATCTCACAACTTTTCCACTTTTCCTTATCCACTTTTATAAGATGATGAGATATCTTTTTTTTTTTTTTTTTTTTTTACATGTAAATCACCAAAACTGCACTCACTGATCTGTGCTGTGATCAGCTGATCAGAAGCAGATCCCAAAACAATTCCACAAAACTATTCATCTCATAACTCATAACACACCAAAAATGAACATCTGCCTCCACAACCAAACTGAAATCTATTTGAAGATAATTGATACAATAAATGAATAAATAATGATTATCCAGTAGTTTTGCACGGTGTGTGGGAACAGATCATAAATCATGTTATACAGATGGGCGACAAATTAAAGTGAAGACTTAAATAAATGAGTGGAGCGTAATAACTAATGTAAATATTTCCATTTGCAGCACAAAAGGTCACAGGCCAGTTTGATGAATATGAAAATGATGTGAATGCTTTTAAACTATGTCATCATCTGAATATCATAAATATTCAAAGTTTTCAACCGTTTTTATTTAGCTTTTACTTCAGTCATTAATCCATGAACTTGAACATACAGTGTGTTTGGAGTTGAACTCTTACCATCTTGTTAAAAGGCAGAGCTGTAATCAAATTGAAGCAGAGAAAGGTACAGGAGGTGCCAACAGTATTTACAGAGGAGGACATTTATGTAGTGTTCCATGTCTTAATGCGTCTGCAATATCAGCCGGTTCATTGCTCAGTTTGTCTTAACCTTTTTATTCTCTGTAGGTCACTTAAGTGGGCGGCTAAAACCAGGTCACCTCTTTCCGTCTGATACAGTAAAGAACGCAGTGGAAAAAGATCATTAGGAAGAAACAAGGGACACTAGAAAAACTGTGCAAGCAAATAAATAGTGGCATAAAGCAGCAGCTACAATTATTTCTGTCTACGTATTATTCATCTTCACTATTATTTTGGGTAAGATGGCTGAGCACACTTCTTGTTTTGCCAGAGGTCTTCTGTTTCATATTTCAAACTCACGCCTGAGAACTGACTGGTCCAACCACAACCACATGACATTTCCTGCCACTCCTGGGATTCAGACTCGTAACCATAACCTCAAATTTTTCTAACCTCCCCCAACTTCATGCATGGTTCGAGCTGACTCACTTGACCAAGTCTATCCTGTTGTTGATGGCGGCCCAATGGAGGAGGGTTACATTTTCTTTGTCTGGCTGCCGAACGTCGAAGCCCGCCTCCACCAGCTCCCTGCAGCGCTCGAAGATGCCGTACCTGAGGAAGAGGAGCGGAGGGGGATTAAAGTCAAATACATGTGCAAACACAGATAAACACAGGGTTAAATGAATAAAACCTAGAAACGCTGACAAGATGCAGACGTACATAAACACACACAAACTGACAACTCTCAAACCCAAACAAGACGCCCACACTGAGGTATAACTCGGCACTGACTGTCTTTAAGCGGATATTCCATAAGTCTGTTGTTGTCAAATGTAACAACGAGTCAGACAAAGCTTTCATTGTCTTATCAAGCGGACATTCCCACATTTCTTTCCTTCCCACACATACACACTCTCTCTCTCACCATTCTGAGCTTGTGAATTACTTCTTTAGCACAGACTGAATCAGACCACCACAGTCAAAAACTAGTAGTAGTGTTAGCTCCAGATTTGTAACAACAACAACACACAGACACACGCACACATTATCCACTCACTGTGTGGCTTTGACAATGTCCCAGGTGCTGTAGTCGTCCACATGGTTTTTACGGCTGACATTCTCACTGTAGCCGTGGTTGTAATGACTCTGGGGTTTGATTTCCTGAAAAGACAAAAGAAAAAGAAACACAGAAATAAAGAAAAGTCAGTAAGGTCTTGCTACTTTATCAGATCATCAGCAATATGCAGGAACACACTAAAATGCACTCGGAGGTGGGGTCAGGGTTGTGAAAGTGTGTATATACTTCATTTATTATACAGAAAAGAAACTTCTATCACGGTATGTGTACATTTTTTAACCACAATATTCATATATTCTCTAGAAATTTAATTGCAAAATTGTTAATATTAACATCCTGTGAGTCCATAAAACAGACCTGATGATTGACAGGTAAAATTTCCTACAATGGTTTAAAAGTCCAATTTTGTTTTGCATTAAAGGTAGATGACCATGTGTAGTTTGATTATAAAGCAGGTCTAGGTTCTATATTAATACTGTGAAAGTATCAAAGCCTCAGTCCACAGAGAAATGCACACAGCCTGTATTCAGAAACTAAGCCTTAAAACTAGCCATCAGGACTTCTGGAACTTTCTGATGTCACAACAAAGCAGTCATCGCTCTTAGCCATGCCCCAAGCCCCGCCCACCTGGACCCACCATCCAACCTTATAGGATTTGGTTTCTCCGAGTGTTTACCAGAAATCTGCTTTATTTTTATTGGATCACTCAGAAAACAGTCAGCCAATCAGAAGAGAGGCTCAGAGCCTCCTCTCCTCTGATTAGCTCAATGACCTGTTGTTACTAGAGCTCCAGAGAGAAGCCTGAGAGAGATGTAAAACTATATTGAGATGGTTTATGGTTCTTAAAACTACAAATATATCTTCTTATGGATCAACACTTCAAATAAAACAAAGGAGAAGAGGAAAATATGGGACCTTTAATACAACTGGAGCTGCAGCAATTAGTCGATCATTTAGTCAAGCAAAAGAATATTAATGGGCAACAATTTTAATCATCAATTAATAATTTCTGTCATTCATCTGGTTCAAGCTTCTAAAATATTAATGTTTCCTGCTTTTCTTCGACACGTTAGACAGTAAATCTTAAAGGCCTCTGGAAATTGATAATGTATTTTTTTCCACTATGTTTTAGCGTTTTTTAACAAAATGACCACTCAATTAAATGAGAATATTTTTGGCAGATTAATCAATAATGAAAATAATCATTAGTTTCACCCTAAATATACCCATTATTAAGCGGATAGGTACCAAAGTAACAGTATGTCAAAATCTATGACAGTAGCTAAATTCATATTGCCTTTTGTTGTATATTGTCATAAGGGGAAAAAAGCTCCATTCATCCCCTGCCATAATGGAAGTGTTGAAAATGAAAATGTTAAGACTGTCAACATTGGGCGTGCATATTGAAAAAGATGCTGCACAAAGAAACTGTTCACTGATTTTGACTTGGCCTTTTCCACTAAGTTGCCAAAATACAACAGCTGCACCCCACAGCAGCAGAGGCACACAGTTTTCAATTTAACCAGCTGATTAGACTTCTATTCTGGTTGAGGTTGAGAGGAGCTAGGATGCAGGAAATTAAATGATATCACAAAAAACTATTAACTATGATGAAATATTGATAACGGCTCAGTCCTGCCTACAAGTGCAACAAAACTAACACGAGAGTGAAGGTGCTGTCAGTCAAGCACAATCTCTATTAACAGACAAACAGACGAGGTTCAATCGGGCAACAGAAGAGAAAACACCTGTGTGGGTGGGTAGGGTTTTTAATTGAATAGACCTTTTTCACAGCAGACATTCTGATTTGTCAAACACAGGTGCACCATATACCATTTATAATAGTTTTATTACAGTGTAATAATTAGTAGAATGCAGTCATCTTTTCTGTTATTGTCTGCTGTGAATCTATAAACTGATTCATCTGGGAATAAAGAAGGAAATAAATGATGTTCCAATGCTCACGAGGATGTCAAGATTATGGCTAGCAAGATTTATTCAGAGAGCAATAATACAAATATAGAAAAGATGGACAGGCTTCTAAGAGGGGCTTGACAGATACAACTTTGGAGCCACTGAAGTACAGGACAGAGCTCCTGGTGATGCAGTACACACAGTGTCCCGCTCCAGAACACTTACACATTCATATAAATAGCTGATAAGGGAGCAGGACAAAGACAAAGACAGGCCTGTCCAATCCTGCTGCTGCTGAAGATCTAATCTGTCACACAGATGTGGTGACTGTGCTACTCACATTCAATTAGCCTCCATAGTAACGCCACAGAAACCACAATTAGTCTCCATCACCTGGAAACAAGGGCTGCATCTGGTAGACACTGAGCCCTCACACTGACTTATGCAATGCTGACTGTGAATGAGACGTGACGCTTGTTAACTGAGTTAAAGCTCTTCTACATTCAAGCCACAGAGAAACACATGTAATCAAATTAAAAACCACAGTCAGAACTGTGATCATGAATCCTGAACTCACATCAAAATTGACTTTAAAAGCTCAGTGTTTCGGTTTCAAGCAGACCTTCAAGCCTTTTCCTATGCATATAATGATGAGACATAATGAGGCAGCCTCCAGGGGGGCCGAGGACATGGCAGGCTTGTGGTGAGCTGCTAGGTAGCCTGAAGCCAGAGCCACAGAGACTTAAAGCTGTACCATCTTGCCTCTGAGTTGAGCTCGGGCCTTCCTACAGCGCCGGGGGATATGCTGAGCCAGCATCTCTGCCACCATGGGGAATGGTGGGGGCGGAATAAGATGGAGAAGGTGCATGGGAAAAACCAACACAGACAGCTTGTGTTGTAAACTCTGGCTTTGGGCTGAGCGATTTAAGGACAAATGATCCATTATTGCAGTTGCAATTTAAATTGTAATTGTTTTCCAGAAGTTAAACCACTGCAAGTATACATACATTTAAACAACAAATAAAAGTAAGCTTGCTCAGATTTCTTTATAAAAAAAAAAAATTAAACATGACCAACAGCCTTTTTTATTGACATCTGGACATGTTAATGTAGGAAAAGCACATGTGCAAAGAGGGTCATTCCATTCCAAATCAGATAGGGTTTATTCAAACCATGTCTATATCATTAATTGGTCCCAAAACCTGTCAAATGTTTCTGTTCAAATACTATGTTTTCATTTTTTTTCAGCCCTTGTTGTCATTTCAGTTTTATATTGTCAAAAACACTTTATCTGGGAAGCCATGTTTGGCCATTAATATCTTCACAAGTGTTGTCAAAAAACCAAGAACTTTGTAGGATGGAACACAAACATGTTTGCCAAACAAATAAAAGCCTGTACATTTTATGTCTATAAAAAGGCCCTAGACTAGGGGAAAAGGGCAAAATTCCCAATCATAATTTTTTTTCAAATACAATCGTTTATTAATTTCGTGCCAATATTTAAGGTCTCTACCACCAATGGATATGAAGATATTGCAAATAAAACAAGACATGGTAGAATTGGATCAAAATGGTATGTGGGGAAGCTACAGAGAACATGACAGTCTATGTGGAAATACCTTAACATATGATCATTATGGGCACAAAGTGCCAATGTCCTTCCATGTTCCCCTCATAGATACACAGTTAAAAGCTTTGTTTGTCCGTGATGAAAAAGCAGCTTATCAGTGTCCCAGCCTCTGAAATGTTGATTGGAGTAAAGAAATACATGTTTTCTGTAGACTTCTTTCACACGAATGCAAGTTATATTCTTTACTATCAGTGCCTCATTCAGATCCATTAACACAAGGACTGAAATTCTGTCTCAGTCTGTGTTCATGTAGATGTCATTTATGACCTTAGTGTTTCTATTACTACTCAATAATAGTGTCATGTTGTTATAGTTACAGCTTCAAATTTTGCCAGGTGTGGTAATTATAACAAACAGCTGGCAAGTCAAGTCTGACATCTACACCGCTGAATAAAAAAAAAAAACAAAAAAAAAACACTTCCCACTTTTTTTATGAACAGCAAAAAGACACAGCCCACTCCTCAGAGTAGTGCATCTTCTTTCACAAAGCAATCTTTGGCCAAGTGTGTCAGCACAGACACTGGCATGAAGAGAATCTTAACCAGACAACAGCTAAGCTGTCTTCTGTTTTTTAACTCACAGAGCTAATGTGAATTAGCTACAGCTGAGTAAATCTGTCATTGACAGTTAGTCATCCCAGCTGCTGAAAACAACAGTTGCAGACTTAACGGTGGCCCATAGAGTTTTCTAACCATAATAATAAAAACCCAACTAAACTTATGTTTATATTCAGTATAAACATAAACCCCAGTGCGTCTTCTTTGGGTTTAACAAGTGTGACAATTGCCTTTCTTTCATCATGAAACATTTTCAAAGCTGAGTTTTGAAGTTCGAAACCCATATTGTTTATGTCCATGTTTCCTAGCGAGCAGTCTTCTGCTTTTCTGCCTTTGTTAGCACATCGCTGCATTTCTTGGCACTTTACATCTGGAGAATATGATTTGTAGGCCGGGGTGTCTTTGTAGAACCACAATAATTCATTTATCATATGTTGTGACAAATTTTACCTTCATCAAAAATATTGCAGCTCTTGCGATCTGGATATTGTATTTGGTCATATTGCAATTTCAATGATATTTCAACTAACTGCTCAGCCCTACTTCAAACCTTTCCAAGATACTGTTAATTATGTAACATACATATAATTAAAACTCTTGTGATTTAAAAATTTCATCTTTTTTAACTATAAAAATCTATTGATCATTTAGCCTAACTCTTATATGTAGTAACACTGGTATACTCACGATTATCTGTATTATTACATATGGGTCAGAAATATTCTTTACAATTCCTGTTGTAATGAGTATGTGGTCTCTCAAAATTCTACTTTCACAAGAAATTATGTGAAATTACAGAAGCAACACACAACTGAAATATGCTTTTACTTTTCCCTTAAATAAATAGTCACATTAGAAGCATGACCAACATTTATGCCATGTCTGGAACTCTGGATCTACATACAGCAATGTGATGTGATGTGACATCAGACATTCAAAAACCACCTCTAAATGACATGTCACAGTAAAATAAACAAAACCCATCATACACTTCACATTTTCTGGTGCTGTTTTCTTTTTTGGTGCCGTTTCATTCCTAATTCCCACACGTCACAAATCATTAATAGTAAGGAAAAAGGTGCTGTGATATTATAATCACAATACAAAGGAAAAATGAGAAGGTAAAACCAGCAGAGAGGGATTTTATTTTAGAGAGTAAATCAGACAGAGGGGGAGGACGAAGTAGGAGAGAGTGACAGAGGAGATATGAAGGTGACCAGCTTGTAATTTTTCTTCCTGTATTTTAAAAGTGTCAGAGCTGATAGGAGGCGTTTGCACTTTTCTCTGCCAAGTTTTTGTCATTTTACAAATCCATATGATTTGTTTCAACTACTCCATGTGCTATTCAGACCGGTTTAGGCCATAGGAAAAAAAAAAAATACAACAGCTGCACCCCACAGTCACGACAGAGGCACACCAGTTTTCTAATTTTAACCAGGTTCTGATAGACTCTCTATTCTGGTTGAGGTTGAGAGGAGCTAGGATGGCAGGATATAAATTGATATCACACAAAAAACTATTAACTATGATGAAATATTCGATAAGTCGGCTCAGTCCGTGCCGTACAAGTGCAAAAAACTAACACGAGAGTGAAGGTGCTTGTCAGTCAAGCTACAATCTCTATTAACAGACATAACAGACGAGGTAATCGGCAACAGAAAGAGAAAACCCTGTGTGGGGTGGGTAGGGTTTTTAATGTGAATAGAACCCTTTCTTCACACAGCAGATTCATTCTGTATTTTGGTCAAACACAGGTGACTTCCCATATACCATTTAAGATAGTTTTATTACAGTGTAATAATTAGTAGAATGCAGTCAGTCTTTTTCTGTTAATTGTCTGCTGTGAATCGTATAAATCTGATCAACTGGGAGAAAAAGAAGGAAATAAAGGATTTCCAATGCTCACTGGAGGATGTCAAGCATTATGGCTAGCAAGATTTATTCAGAGAGCAATAATACAAAATATTAGAAACAGATGGACAGGGCTTCTACAGAGGTGGCTTGACAGATACAACTTTGGAAGGCCACTGAAGTACAGGACAGAGCTCTCTGGTGATGCGCAGTACAAACCACTAGTGGTCTCCGCTACCAAGAAACTTACAACATTCATTAATAAATAGCTGATATAAGGGAGCAGGAACACATAGACAAAGACAGGTCCTGTGCCAATCCTGTCTGCTGCTGAATGATCTAATCTCACACAGATGTGGTGACTGTGCTACTTCACAACTTCAATAGCCTGCCCATAAGTAACTTGCCACAGGAAACCTACAATTAGTCTCTCCATCACCTGGAAACAAAGGCTGCATTCTGGTAGACACTTGAGCCCTCACACTGACTTATTGCAATGCTGACTGTGAATGAGACGTGACGCTTGTTTAACTGAGTTAAAGCTCTTTCTACATTCAGCCACAGAGAAACACATGTAAATCAAATAAAAACACAGTCAGAACTGTGATCAAGAATCCCTGAACTCAACATCAAAATTGACTTTAAAAAGCTCGCAGTGTTTTCGGTTTCAAGCAGACCTTCAAAGCCTTTTCCTATGCATATAAGATGAGACATATGAGGCACGCCTCCAGGGGGCTGGGGAACATGGCGGCTATGGTGAGGCTGCGAAGTAGCTAGCTCTATGAGCCGAGCCAAGATCATAGTAACTGTAAAGCTGTACCATGCTTTGCCTCTGAGTTGAGCTCGGGCCTCCTAAGCGCCGGGGGATTATGCTGAGCCAGCATTCTCTGCCACATGTGGGAAAATGGTTGGGGCCGGAATAAGATTGAGAAGGTGCTATGGGAAAAACCAACACAGAACAGCTTGGTGTTTGTAAACTCTGCTTTGGGCTGGAGCGATTTAAGGACATCGTCCTTATTGCAGTTGCAATTTAAATTTAACTTGTATAATTCCAGAGTTTAACGCATGCAAGTATCCATACATTTAAACAACAAAATTAAAAGTAAGCTTGCTCAGATTCATTTATTAAAGAAAAAAAAATTAAACATTGACTGCAATATCAGCCGGTTCATTGCTCAGTTTGTCTTAACCTTTTTATTCTCTGTAGGTCACTTAAGTGGGCGGCTAAAACCAGGTCACCTCTTTCCGTCTGATACAGTAAAGAACGCAGTGGAAAAAGATCATTAGGAAGAAACAAGGGACACTAGAAAAACTGTGCAAGCAAATAAATAGTGGCATAAAGCAGCAGCTACAATTATTTCTGTCTACGTATTATTCATCTTCACTATTATTTTGGGTAAGATGGCTGAGCACACTTCTTGTTTTGCCAGAGGTCTTCTGTTTCATATTTCAAACTCACGCCTGAGAACTGACTGGTCCAACCACAACCACATGACATTTCCTGCCACTCCTGGGATTCAGACTCGTAACCATAACCTCAAATTTTTCTAACCTCCCCCAACTTCATGCATGGTTCGAGCTGACTCACTTGACCAAGTCTATCCTGTTGTTGATGGCGGCCCAATGGAGGAGGGTTACATTTTCTTTGTCTGGCTGCCGAACGTCGAAGCCCGCCTCCACCAGCTCCCTGCAGCGCTCGAAGATGCCGTACCTGAGGAAGAGGAGCGGAGGGGGATTAAAGTCAAATACATGTGCAAACACAGATAAACACAGGGTTAAATGAATAAAACCTAGAAACGCTGACAAGATGCAGACGTACATAAACACACACAAACTGACAACTCTCAAACCCAAACAAGACGCCCACACTGAGGTATAACTCGGCACTGACTGTCTTTAAGCGGATATTCCATAAGTCTGTTGTTGTCAAATGTAACAACGAGTCAGACAAAGCTTTCATTGTCTTATCAAGCGGACATTCCCACATTTCTTTCCTTCCCACACATACACACTCTCTCTCTCACCATTCTGAGCTTGTGAATTACTTCTTTAGCACAGACTGAATCAGACCACCACAGTCAAAAACTAGTAGTAGTGTTAGCTCCAGATTTGTAACAACAACAACACACAGACACACGCACACATTATCCACTCACTGTGTGGCTTTGACAATGTCCCAGGTGCTGTAGTCGTCCACATGGTTTTTACGGCTGACATTCTCACTGTAGCCGTGGTTGTAATGACTCTGGGGTTTGATTTCCTGAAAAGACAAAAGAAAAAGAAACACAGAAATAAAGAAAAGTCAGTAAGGTCTTGCTACTTTATCAGATCATCAGCAATATGCAGGAACACACTAAAATGCACTCGGAGGTGGGGTCAGGGTTGTGAAAGTGTGTATATACTTCATTTATTATACAGAAAAGAAACTTCTATCACGGTATGTGTACATTTTTTAACCACAATATTCATATATTCTCTAGAAATTTAATTGCAAAATTGTTAATATTAACATCCTGTGAGTCCATAAAACAGACCTGATGATTGACAGGTAAAATTTCCTACAATGGTTTAAAAGTCCAATTTTGTTTTGCATTAAAGGTAGATGACCATGTGTAGTTTGATTATAAAGCAGGTCTAGGTTCTATATTAATACTGTGAAAGTATCAAAGCCTCAGTCCACAGAGAAATGCACACAGCCTGTATTCAGAAACTGAGCCTTAAAACTAGCCATCAGGACTTCTGGAACTTTCTGATGTCACAACAAAGCAGTCATCGCTCTTAGCCATGCCCCAAGCCCCGCCCACCTGGACCCACCATCCAACCTTATAGGATTTGGTTTCTCCGAGTGTTTACCAGAAATCTGCTTTATTTTTATTGGATCACTCAGAAAACAGTCAGCCAATCAGAAGAGAGGCTCAGAGCCTCCTCTCCTCTGATTAGCTCAATGACCTGTTGTTACTAGAGCTCCAGAGAGAAGCCTGAGAGAGATGTAAAACTATATTGAGATGGTTTATGGTTCTTAAAACTACAAATATATCTTCTTATGGATCAACACTTCAAATAAAACAAAGGAGAAGAGGAAAATATGGGACCTTTAATACAACTGGAGCTGCAGCAATTAGTCGATCATTTAGTCAAGCAAAAGAATATTAATGGGCAACAATTTTAATCATCAATTAATAATTTCTGTCATTCATCTGGTTCAAGCTTCTAAAATATTAATGTTTCCTGCTTTTCTTCGACACGTTAGACAGTAAATCTTAAAGGCCTCTGGAAATTGATAATGTATTTTTTTCCACTATGTTTTAGCGTTTTTTAACAAAATGACCACTCAATTAAATGAGAATATTTTTGGCAGATTAATCAATAATGAAAATAATCATTAGTTTCACCCTAAATATACCCATTATTAAGCGGATAGGTACCAAAGTAACAGTATGTCAAAATCTATGACAGTAGCTAAATTCATATTGCCTTTTGTTGTATATTGTCATAAGGGGAAAAAAGCTCCATTCATCCCCTGCCATAATGGAAGTGTTGAAAATGAAAATGTTAAGACTGTCAACATTGGGCGTGCATATTGAAAAAGATGCTGCACAAAGAAACTGTTCACTGATTTTGACTTGGCCTTTTCCACTAAGTTGCCAAAATACAACAGCTGCACCCCACAGCAGCAGAGGCACACAGTTTTCAATTTAACCAGCTGATTAGACTTCTATTCTGGTTGAGGTTGAGAGGAGCTAGGATGCAGGAAATTAAATGATATCACAAAAAACTATTAACTATGATGAAATATTGATAACGGCTCAGTCCTGCCTACAAGTGCAACAAAACTAACACGAGAGTGAAGGTGCTGTCAGTCAAGCACAATCTCTATTAACAGACAAACAGACGAGGTTCAATCGGGCAACAGAAGAGAAAACACCTGTGTGGGTGGGTAGGGTTTTTAATTGAATAGACCTTTTTCACAGCAGACATTCTGATTTGTCAAACACAGGTGCACCATATACCATTTATAATAGTTTTATTACAGTGTAATAATTAGTAGAATGCAGTCATCTTTTCTGTTATTGTCTGCTGTGAATCTATAAACTGATTCATCTGGGAATAAAGAAGGAAATAAATGATGTTCCAATGCTCACGAGGATGTCAAGATTATGGCTAGCAAGATTTATTCAGAGAGCAATAATACAAATATAGAAAAGATGGACAGGCTTCTAAGAGGGGCTTGACAGATACAACTTTGGAGCCACTGAAGTACAGGACAGAGCTCCTGGTGATGCAGTACACACAGTGTCCCGCTCCAGAACACTTACACATTCATATAAATAGCTGATAAGGGAGCAGGACAAAGACAAAGACAGGCCTGTCCAATCCTGCTGCTGCTGAAGATCTAATCTGTCACACAGATGTGGTGACTGTGCTACTCACATTCAATTAGCCTCCATAGTAACGCCACAGAAACCACAATTAGTCTCCATCACCTGGAAACAAGGGCTGCATCTGGTAGACACTGAGCCCTCACACTGACTTATGCAATGCTGACTGTGAATGAGACGTGACGCTTGTTAACTGAGTTAAAGCTCTTCTACATTCAAGCCACAGAGAAACACATGTAATCAAATTAAAAACCACAGTCAGAACTGTGATCATGAATCCTGAACTCACATCAAAATTGACTTTAAAAGCTCAGTGTTTCGGTTTCAAGCAGACCTTCAAGCCTTTTCCTATGCATATAATGATGAGACATAATGAGGCAGCCTCCAGGGGGGCCGAGGACATGGCAGGCTTGTGGTGAGCTGCTAGGTAGCCTGAAGCCAGAGCCACAGAGACTTAAAGCTGTACCATCTTGCCTCTGAGTTGAGCTCGGGCCTTCCTACAGCGCCGGGGGATATGCTGAGCCAGCATCTCTGCCACCATGGGGAATGGTGGGGGCGGAATAAGATGGAGAAGGTGCATGGGAAAAACCAACACAGACAGCTTGTGTTGTAAACTCTGGCTTTGGGCTGAGCGATTTAAGGACAAATGATCCATTATTGCAGTTGCAATTTAAATTGTAATTGTTTTCCAGAAGTTAAACCACTGCAAGTATACATACATTTAAACAACAAATAAAAGTAAGCTTGCTCAGATTTCTTTATAAAAAAAAAAAATTAAACATGACCAACAGCCTTTTTTATTGACATCTGGACATGTTAATGTAGGAAAAGCACATGTGCAAAGAGGGTCATTCCATTCCAAATCAGATAGGGTTTATTCAAACCATGTCTATATCATTAATTGGTCCCAAAACCTGTCAAATGTTTCTGTTCAAATACTATGTTTTCATTTTTTTTCAGCCCTTGTTGTCATTTCAGTTTTATATTGTCAAAAACACTTTATCTGGGAAGCCATGTTTGGCCATTAATATCTTCACAAGTGTTGTCAAAAAACCAAGAACTTTGTAGGATGGAACACAAACATGTTTGCCAAACAAATAAAAGCCTGTACATTTTATGTCTATAAAAAGGCCCTAGACTAGGGGAAAAGGGCAAAATTCCCAATCATAATTTTTTTTCAAATACAATCGTTTATTAATTTCGTGCCAATATTTAAGGTCTCTACCACCAATGGATATGAAGATATTGCAAATAAAACAAGACATGGTAGAATTGGATCAAAATGGTATGTGGGGAAGCTACAGAGAACATGACAGTCTATGTGGAAATACCTTAACATATGATCATTATGGGCACAAAGTGCCAATGTCCTTCCATGTTCCCCTCATAGATACACAGTTAAAAGCTTTGTTTGTCCGTGATGAAAAAGCAGCTTATCAGTGTCCCAGCCTCTGAAATGTTGATTGGAGTAAAGAAATACATGTTTTCTGTAGACTTCTTTCACACGAATGCAAGTTATATTCTTTACTATCAGTGCCTCATTCAGATCCATTAACACAAGGACTGAAATTCTGTCTCAGTCTGTGTTCATGTAGATGTCATTTATGACCTTAGTGTTTCTATTACTACTCAATAATAGTGTCATGTTGTTATAGTTACAGCTTCAAATTTTGCCAGGTGTGGTAATTATAACAAACAGCTGGCAAGTCAAGTCTGACATCTACACCGCTGAATAAAAAAAAAAAACAAAAAAAAAACACTTCCCACTTTTTTTATGAACAGCAAAAAGACACAGCCCACTCCTCAGAGTAGTGCATCTTCTTTCACAAAGCAATCTTTGGCCAAGTGTGTCAGCACAGACACTGGCATGAAGAGAATCTTAACCAGACAACAGCTAAGCTGTCTTCTGTTTTTTAACTCACAGAGCTAATGTGAATTAGCTACAGCTGAGTAAATCTGTCATTGACAGTTAGTCATCCCAGCTGCTGAAAACAACAGTTGCAGACTTAACGGTGGCCCATAGAGTTTTCTAACCATAATAATAAAAACCCAACTAAACTTATGTTTATATTCAGTATAAACATAAACCCCAGTGCGTCTTCTTTGGGTTTAACAAGTGTGACAATTGCCTTTCTTTCATCATGAAACATTTTCAAAGCTGAGTTTTGAAGTTCGAAACCCATATTGTTTATGTCCATGTTTCCTAGCGAGCAGTCTTCTGCTTTTCTGCCTTTGTTAGCACATCGCTGCATTTCTTGGCACTTTACATCTGGAGAATATGATTTGTAGGCCGGGGTGTCTTTGTAGAACCACAATAATTCATTTATCATATGTTGTGACAAATTTTACCTTCATCAAAAATATTGCAGCTCTTGCGATCTGGATATTGTATTTGGTCATATTGCAATTTCAATGATATTTCAACTAACTGCTCAGCCCTACTTCAAACCTTTCCAAGATACTGTTAATTATGTAACATACATATAATTAAAACTCTTGTGATTTAAAAATTTCATCTTTTTTAACTATAAAAATCTATTGATCATTTAGCCTAACTCTTATATGTAGTAACACTGGTATACTCACGATTATCTGTATTATTACATATGGGTCAGAAATATTCTTTACAATTCCTGTTGTAATGAGTATGTGGTCTCTCAAAATTCTACTTTCACAAGAAATTATGTGAAATTACAGAAGCAACACACAACTGAAATATGCTTTTACTTTTCCCTTAAATAAATAGTCACATTAGAAGCATGACCAACATTTATGCCATGTCTGGAACTCTGGATCTACATACAGCAATGTGATGTGATGTGACATCAGACATTCAAAAACCACCTCTAAATGACATGTCACAGTAAAATAAACAAAACCCATCATACACTTCACATTTTCTGGTGCTGTTTTCTTTTTTGGTGCCGTTTCATTCCTAATTCCCACACGTCACAAATCATTAATAGTAAGGAAAAAGGTGCTGTGATATTATAATCACAATACAAGGGAAAAATGAGAAGGTAAAACCAGCAGAGAGGGATTTTATTTTAGAGAGTAAATCAGACAGAGGGGGAGGACGAAGTAGGAGAGTGTGACAGAGGAGATATGAAGGTGACCAGCTTGTAATTTTTCTTCCTGTATTTTAAAAGTGTCAGAGCTGATAGGAGGCGTTTGCACTTTTCTCTGCCAAGTTTTTGTCATTTTACAAATCCATATGATTTGTTTCAACTACTCCATGTGCTATTCAGACCGGTTTAGGCCATAGGAAAAAAAAAAAAAGAAAAAAAGAAAAAAAAAGGGGGGGGGGGGTCATTCAATTATCATCATGACTGTGCTGAGCTTTTTTTTCTTCTGACAAAGTGGAACTCGGAGCCTCTTCCTTCATCTGGATATTCAATTGAGGGAAAGTGAAGGCAGGGAGGCAGATTTCCTGTCAGGATGAGGGACAGGGGGGAGAAGGCTCGGACCTAAACCCTCAGACACCAGATGTTAAGTAACTTTCTCCATCTCAGCCTTCCATGGAGATAACCTTTGACCCCTTGCCAATCACAAACAGCCTTGTTCGCTCTCTTCATTCCCTCCAGCCAGCTAAAAAGCTGATGATGGCATTTGTAACTGTAGTGATAATTGCAGCCTGTGCATTTTCTCACCTCTAAATTATGTGCCTGTGTACTGGAAAACCATACAACAACTGTGACGATGGCAGTGATGATATTATCAATTAAACATATCCATTTCATTGATTTTAAATTGGAAGCTCATCTGTTTAGTGAGGCAGCAGGCATGGCTTTTGTCAATGGGGATGGTCAGTGGGACATATGGCAGCTACTCCTTGGGTGGGTGGGTGGGGGGGGTCACGTGCCATGAGCTAAAAATGTCAGACAGCACCGATTCTGAAAATGAATGTTTACTGGGTTACAGCAGAATCAACAGTGATGGTAGAAGTAGTGTGAGCAACAGCACAATAAGGGTGAGATCAACATTTACATTTTAATCAGGAAAATATAAAGCAAGAACACCATAATAGCTTTTTCACTGCATCTGCAGTCACTGCTTTCTAGGACTAAATTGCATCATTATTGTGTTCCTCCTCTTGCTGGCTGTAGCCATAACCCACAATCAGACTCAGTCTGAAATCAGAGCCATTTCGACGGGCTAATTCAATATTCAAGGCACAGTTTACATCTATAGATCAGGAGGAAGCGGAGGGGAAACACTTGTTTGTAAGGAAATAATGGGAATGCTCAGAGGAAACAGAATTCATGTTTTCCACTTTGCACCACAACGAAGAATGGAATCAAGCGACTGACAGTGTCCCCTACCTATTTGTGCCTTTTATGCAAGAAAACTCATTTGCATTATAAAATGAGACTGGAAGCCGTGGACAGATATCTCTTATGTTCCTCAAAAGAAGAAATGTTGCATTCAACACGTTGAACTGGTTCAAAAAACTAAAAAATGCACAGCCCTTCTGACTGTGCGACTAAAGTTTTCTGATGCTCTAATTCAGGTGCCTCATGCATTCAGCTTCACTCTGCTCTCGCTACAATCTACGAGATGACCCAGATTCCAGGCAGCACCCTGCTGAAAAAGGGGAGCAACTTTAAGCCGAGCCTGTGCGGGCACACAGAGAAAATAAACTTAATTTCTAACATCGCTACTACTGTCAGACAAATTTCTTCAATATGACAGGGAGATGTACAGCCAAAAGATCAAACTTTGAGCGCTACTGCACAATGATTTAAAGAGGTGGTGGCACCTCTAAATTCATGGCAGACAATTTACCTCTTGCAAGATTGGAGAACAATAACCTTTAGACAAAGCACAAGCACATTTTCGGTCTTGTGTATATTACCTTGTGTGTAAAGTGTCAATAAAATTTCATATACTGTTTCTCTGATGCAAAGTTTGATTTATCATAGAGAATTTACTGCCACTCCTGCACAACAGAGGTCAATTGCATAACGATAAAACTTTCTCATCTCCACATGGAGGTGTTTTTACCTTTTTTTTAATTTTTAATTTTACCATTTATCACTGCTGCTGGTGTCTGTGTGTATTAAACTTCAGTTGACAGCTTTCTCCTCCTGTATTTCATGTGTGTATGTTGTCAGGCTCTGGCTCAGCCTCCAACACTGAATCCCGACTGACACATCTACTCAACCAAGTTGGTCTGAGGTCTCTGACTTCACCATCAGGTAAAGCAGTGACTTCCAGACAAACAAAACTAAGGAAGGCATCCCAAACAATCTGTTCTTTCAAGGGAGCAAAGAACAGTTGGTAATTACACTTCCTTTAATTAGGAGAAAGCTGATTTTTCCAATATATCAAAAAAGACTGTTCTTGGTTCAGCAAGGACTAACAGCAAACTGATTGTATTAGTCTAGGCCTGATTGTTACTGTGCCACAGAGAGGAATCATGTTATCCATCACACAAGAGGGCAAGAAAGGAGAAAACCATTATTCTCTTTAAATGCACATGCATCAAAATAACAGAAACACCAATTACCTTGTGTAATAAAAAGAATGTCAGATTTGCATTTTATCCATTTTGGAGAGGTTGTTATCTAGAATTACTCAAATGTGCGTGTTTGTAGTCCCCAGAACACATTGCAAATTTTGACTCCAGCCAGTTCAGCCTGCCTTGAAATAAACCCTCCAATGCACAGAGCTTCCACACAGAATATTTGCATATGACAGGGCTCTATTTCGCGTTATAAGTATTCACAGAATGAGGAATATACACAGTCATGAATCTGCACAGTCATCAACTGTAGTTCCTCACACCCAAAACCATAAAACTACAGAGTGTTATATTATTAGTACTAAATACTGAACGTTTCAGTTCTCTCAACACCATCACTTTCTTGCTGCCCTGTCTCTCTCAGTCTGGTTGCAGGTTAAATGACATATGTGTGAGTTAGCAACAATATAAAATCAAATTATCATTTATAACAGAAACATTGGTTGACCAAAGCCAATTAAGTTAGACCTGCATTAAACCTAGGTTGGGAGATGACATATGTTGACCGACTCAGATCAACTGTCAATGTGGGTATCACCTAGCTGTTTTGGATCTGAAGTGATATCAAGTTTCACTGCAGCGTCTAAAGGAGAAGAGGCTCTCACAACCTCCAACAGAAAAAAGGCTTGATCTCTGTCATATTCAAAAGACTTGCTGAATAACGAGATGGAGAACTACTGTCTTCCTTTGCCCAGTTTTCCTCCTTTGTGCAAACCAAAACAAAACTGACAAGAAGACAGGATTAACATAGAGCATGTCCACGAATGCAGCCATTGTGGTTGATTTGACCACATTTTCCCCATTATTAGTTTATCTATGATCAGGGAGCCAATACCTAAATGAAAGCTAATTTATTTGGAGCAATTTGATGACTCAGAATGTGGCACCACAACACTCAAACTTCATATTGGCATAATATGTGAACATGACTATTACATTCAGTGCTTGATTCAGTGCTCTAGTAGCCAATATGGCTACTACATTTTAAAGAGAACTCATCTTACAACAGCCAAAATCAGATGATAAACCACCATACCCATTTCAGCCTACTTTCACTAGGTACATTAACTCATCTCTCTACATCTTGGTCTAACTGGACATTACAGACATGAATCATTTGATCCACACACTGCCAGGATTAACAGTTAGAGAGCAAGTCTGAAGGTAAATTAGCTGATCTGACCTGCTGGCGACAAACCAACAAGCAGAACAGGTTAGCTGAGAGAAAAGCACATCAACTGTCACTGGGGCAAACTACTGTTTGCATCAAACAGAGCTCTTCTTGATGATTAGATTACCTACCAAGCAAGGATAAAAGCAACTAATAACCAGGGTACTCAAGTCCTATTAAGTTAGTGGTAGCAAGAGTGGTATATGATAAGAAAATAATAATAAGAAATGGGTGACATGGGTTTAAATAAGCTGTAATGAAGAGAATAACATAAAGACAAACATCCTGTCAGGTTAGCTTGTGTTTAGCTAACAATGTTGAAATTAAGCCTTTCCAGATACAATTTAACTTATTCCTTAAATCATTATTAGATAAATGCGGCAGACATTGTCTTTTATGGTAATTTAAATGACTCATTTGTTTATGCTGATTCACAGTACCTCAAATACAAACATAACAAAATATTTCCAACGATATTAGATGACAGAAACAACAAATCCTAACTGACAAAGTGACAGATAACGTTACTGCCAATCCCAACCAAGAGGACCTGCTGTAGGTTTCATGCTAAAAAACGAACATGGTTTTCAAGTAAAAAAATGAGGGCATTTATTTACATTACTAGCTGTTAACATGACCTAATAATAACGGAATGGACACCACAGCTTAACGTATGCTTACACATTTGACACCAGTTTACATCACCGCAGCTAAGCCTGGCAGCACAGCCAGTTTAGCTATAAAGCTAACATCGGATGACTGCAAGGATTAATCATTAACATTACTTTCCCCATTGCAGACTTAACTACGCTGCTTACAACCTTGTTTACTAGCTGCACGGCGTCACAACCAGGGAAAGCACCACCACGGTTATCGTTAACATTAACACAAACATCTGCCTAGCGTCTACTGGCTATGCAGCAGGAGGAGGGGGGCTAGCGATAGCACCTTTAGCATCGTTAGCTGCCTGCCACCCCCCACCGGTGGTTTTGCAGGGGGCATCGGAGTTTCAAAAAAAAAAAGCACGGCAAAACCGCGCAGACACCCACACACAGTCTGGTGTAATACGTTTTGTGTATGTTCATATGTGCGTGCGAAGGCGTAAAGTCCAATGACCATACCTCGGGATGGAGAATAGGGACGCAGCCAGCTTCTTTCTCATATTCCTCCATAGCGTCGGCCATCTTGGTGGTGATGTTCGCTGAGCATTGTGGGAAGCAAGAGGCTGTGTAGGGGGGAAACAAACAGAGGAGGAGGAGAGAGGAGCTGTCAAAAAAAAAAACACAAAAAGGAAGGACAGGCCTCATCACACAAAAGGTCACATAGTCACAACATGTGGCCAGGGCAGTCTAATATACAGTAGATAGCAATAATAATGATATCAAATAGATTTACAAATGGTTATTCTTGCAAATACAACCTCTAAGGTTTTATGTTAGAGTAGTCTAATGTATGGCTCTTGCCACTAAAATAAAGCAATGATGGACAGGCAACGAGGATAAGGGAAAATAACTCTTCCCCAGACTTTCTACAGCTTCATGTGTCACAACCTTAAACCCTGTATTATTAGGAAGCATATCTATCATTTTTTCTCCTATAGAAAACAAAATGACAGCTGTTGTATCCCACTTCTCCTTGGCCAAGTCTGTGTCTTAAGCAGGACTTGAGTGAGGTTAGCTGTCACTAACAGTCATTATACAAGTTGGAAACATCCACCATGTCTCAATCACCCACAGGGTTACAATAGGCTATGTATTCTGCATATTGCACTCATGGTACTTGAAGGAGAGAAGTATTTGGACAACTGCAGAGAGGGCAAGAAGGGAGTCTCGAGTGCAGTTTTGTCTCTGAGATAGTTGGGTAACTTGATGACCGCAGACTCAACCAGACTGGTTCTACAGTAAAGTGCTACAGTGCAAGCATAAGTGTCATCTTACTTCCTCTTTCTTTTCAGATCTACTGTGTGTTATGGTAGATTTCTAATCTCACTTTCATTCTGCCTTATGATTGGTCCAGAACCATACTGATATTATTTGTGTGGAAGAGCTTAAGCCCAGCTAGAATATCTTTAACATTTTTGGTTGTTTAACTGTCCATCTGTAATTTGTTTCTTGTATAACACAGCATTTTGAATAGGTTTCTGCTATTACATTATTTACAGTGTAATAAGGTTAATTACACAACTAGCTTTATTCAGCTTTGCTTGAAAGATTTAAGATCTTGCAAAGCAAGATTTAATTGCAGACTCGGAGATATACAATGGAAACACAATTTGGTTCCATTCATTTGATTTACAATTTGAGTAATTCAGTTCCTGCCATCAACCCTAATCCTTCATCATACATCCTTTATTTTGTTTTTTTGTTGGTTTATTTCTTTTTTCTTTTTTTGCAATTTTCAAAAACCTCAGAGCAAGTGTACAAGTTTAGTTTATTCATACAGCTGTTATACCTTCACACAAGTATGAGTATCATATATAATATGCATGGTACACACAGCGTACTATGTACACATACAGTGTGTTCCTGCATGTGTGTAATATAAGCTCTTTACCGATTTAGTTTTACACTGAAGCTGTTGCAAACTAATGATTTGGGGGAAATTATCTCATATTTCTTTACATTTAGGTCACAAAAAACATTATTTTTGTGCAGTGACACAGGTTGAAAGAGCTCATAAACAGCAACATTTATAGATGATAATGGGAAAACAAAACCCAAAGAAATCTAGACTGATGACATTTTTTCTCTTGAGACAGAAGCGCCACAAGACAGGGGAAAGTCTATGATGCATGGATTCTTTAAATGAAAAAATTCATGCACTAAAATAAAAAAAACAAAACAAAACAAAACAACAATTTAATGAACAATAAATACATATTTTTGCATTTTTAATAGAATAGAATATCAAGTTTTGGTTCTCCAGTCAGTACCATATGGCCATGAGGGAGGCTCCATACTGACATTCAGAAGACTAACTGCATGGATGATATCTGACATTTCATAATGGGAAGCAATGACAACACTGCAGTAACTAATATATGCCTCTAGATGTTCTCCATGTCCCATCATCTCTACTACACCTAAACCCCCAGTAGCCACTAGATGTCTCCCTTTACCCAGGCATGCATGCATGGCAATCCTGTGGAGTTCATAAACCCACAGGTTTTATGGTGTGTTTGAAATATTATCATACTAACAGAAATATCAGCTATGATAAGATACACACACCCCCAAGAACCCAGTATATTCATTTAAACAACCATAACTCCAAAAGCATGCTAGAGATGGTATCACACACACACACACACACACACACACACACACACACACACACACACACACACACACACACACACACATAGACTTGCATTCATTTCCTGGAGACTACTGACAAAAAAACCCAGCTTTTTCTTAATTTAGGACACAGCTTTTGAATTGGACAATTTAGCATAATTAGGCTATGTAATAATATCATTTTGACAAACAGACAAATACATTTACTACACATAATATTTAAATTATTATATGAATGATATATGGCATAAATAGATTTATCCAGAGAAGAGGATCATAAAGCCCACACACTTAATTTATCATACTAAATGTTATCTATAAAAGATAAAACGTACAGCTGGAATGCGATTAAAGTGAAAGCGGACTGATGTGATCACGGCTGTGATGTCCTGTGTCCAGCCAGGCAAATCAAACGATCACCGACCAGAACAAGGGAGAAAGTCTCCTGTTGTTGCATCAAGTTACCCCGTCATAAATCAGACACAGGATATTGAGCGTTTTGCCTTCAAAATAAAGTCAGAACCAGAACAGTTGCACCGAAGATAAAATCACTTCTGCTTCCAATATTTGTACTATGACTAATTGAAATATGAATATTAGCTTTACTTACATATAATATTGAGCACAAAAAGAATTGCAATTTAACCAAGAAAAGTAGAGCAATTTAATGAGCAGTGACAAAATAGTGTAAATATTTACCCTCAGCCATAGTATTATCAATAAAAATATGGAAAATCAGGAGAAAGTGTGTTCAGGCAGCAAGATAGAAGATAATCATACACAATACAAAGACAACAAAATAATAAAAAAAGCTTGTGTATAAAAAATAATAATAAGAGAAGTGTATTTCCATGAACATGGTTCAACATTACAAAAACCAAGCTGTGATGTATGCAGGTCTTATTCTTTTCAGACACAAAACGAACTAAATAAACAAATAAATGCTATATTTCATATTTAAGTTTTATGATTTTGTTTTTAATGGATGCAAATTTAGAGTCTAACTTAGAGAGGTGAACAAATTTGGCTTGTTGACACAAAGGGATATGTTGGCTGTGGTAAAATGTATTTTACTATACTTTTAAATTAAAAGTATAGTTGAATTATTAATACTTTTAATTTGATGAATTTAAGATTTTAAGACTAAAGAGCATTAAGATAAAGGGCAACCAGTCCACTTAGAACAATTTTAATTAAATCAAATAACAATGAAGAACATTAAATTAAAAGATATCATGACTATAAGACTACCAGTTATTGAATGAAAACAAATGAGAAAATGTTCCTGCCTTTAAATTCTTTTCTTTATTTTGGCTTTTAGTTTGAAATTTATCACCGGAAATGTTGTGTATCATTGTGATGTTGACCGTTGCTCACTCAAACCCATGACAGAATCGTGCAGGCGGGCTAGTGGCTAACAAGTTGGCTGAATATCGGTGCTAAATTCACAGTAGAAAAAATAGCACTAATCGTGAAGTTATTTTTTCACTGTACAAACTTTAACATTGGACCTCCATGACGCGGCTGGACTGAGGAGGACGCCAGCCATCACAGGCTGAAGCAGTGATTACCTCGTAGAAAACATTAAAACGTCGCCAGCTAACAGTTAGCAGACAGACAAACGTCCCCCAGGACTGGCTGAATATTTCCAGCCTGTGTTTTCCCTCCGTGAGCCAGTCAGACAACCCACCGGCAGACCCCCAACGAAGCAAAGGTGAGTGCCACGCATACAAAAATAAGAAGAACACGAAACGAACCAGCTGCTAATGTTGATTAAACGCAGCTAGCTTAATTGCTAATTCGCTGTGTGTGTGTTTGTGTGTGTGTGTGTGTGTGTGTGTGTGTATGTGTATGTGTGTGTGTGTGTGTGTGTGTGTGTGTGTGTGTGTGTGTGTGGTGAGTTGACAGCCGTGACTCTGCAGTCGAGCAGTGCGTACTATTATGTAATAAACCAGGGTTAGCGATAGCTGAGGCGTAAGTCTAGCAGCTTCTCCATCTCCATATGCTCCCCTTCACGTCTCTGCAGGCTGTCCCAACTCACACTGTAGTGTGACCGTTTTGAGGAATAGTCTATATTCACTCTGAGGTGTTTAATGTCAGCCTATTTGCAGCCGTGCGGGCAGGACGCGAGTTGCCGTGCAGCAAAGTGGTGAGTGGTGAAGCATGCTTAATTTAAATTTCTTTCAACCACATTGTATCTGGATGATTAATGGAAGAGGATGTGCACATAGAACCAGCTTGGTTTTGGTGTTTCAAGGACGGTGGACAGTGCTGAAAAAACATTGCTTCTCCCTGACTTCCCTTGCGGTCTACATGTTACTGCCTATGATCCTGCTGCAGTGTTGCATATCTGCAGCCTCCTCAGCCCTGGTGCTCTGTTACCACTTTCACCCCAGGAGCAGAAACAGGAGACTGACCGGCATCAGGACCTGTTCCTAATTGTGTCAGACAACTGATGCATCCGGTGGATCCTGGTCTGTTATCAGATATCTGATATCAGCCTGCCATCTCATCCTCCTGTGATTTTATGAAGCTTTCTCCCTCCGACCTTCTGCTCAGTTTGTGTATGTTTATATAGACCACTGAATAGGTTTTATAGTTGGAAGCTAATTATACATTTAATGGCTCTGAATATCAGTTTTCCTAAACCCCCACCCCCTCCACTGGTGTTATAAGAAGCACGAAATTATCACAGAAGCACCAAGTACAAGTCTTGTTCTTTGGCCTTCAAATTTCTGCTGAACCTCAGGTGATTTGAGTTAATGATGAGAACACCTATCAGTATATTCTATTCTGTGTACCTGAGCCAACTTAGGTTCTCTGCCAGTCACATACTGGATTTCCATGTTTTCCATCCTGTATTTGCATATTAATGAAGGGTAATCCCAGACTTTCCATGCCAAACTTTTGTTGAGGTGAGTCGCGCAATCCAGGGTCACAAGAGCGACCAACTCATTTGTCAGTCAAATTCAGTTTCCATTCAGCCTCTCTCGAAACCACAGTTTGTTGCTTGTGCACCTCCCTGGTAAACACACAATGTTTTGAATTTGAATTCAGAATCTATTTGTGAGCGTCAGAAATGTATTAATGCTGACATGCAAAGATAAACAGAACTGGATTATATTTGTGTGGTGTGTTTGCACAGTGATGGGAGGACAATATATCATAGGTCAGTCTGGTTTAGGAGTCAATTAATCTGCAAATTATTTTCTCAAATAATCAATTTTTTGATAAATTGTGGGAGAACTTTGAAATATGCTCAGTCTGATTTCACAGACCTCAGAATGACTTTACAAAGATACTAAATTTACAGTGATATGAAACAGAGAAATTCAGAATTATTGGATTGTCAAAATAGAGAAAGATTAGTTTTTTGTTTCAGATGATCGATTCATTCAATAATCTTTTCAGTTCTAACCTGATTGATTTCCAACCTAACTGCAGAAGTTAAAAATTGCAGGAGGGTGTAATGACGTGGTCTCTGCTCAGCATGTATCCTACATATGTTATTCTAGATCAGGGGTCTTCAACCTTTTTTACTCTGAGAGCTACTTTGACAAGATAAAAAGGGCTGAGAGCTCCTCAGGTCTGATATTACTGGTTACATTTATTCACATATCGTATCAAAACACTCAAACTGATCTCCAAAATAAATCGGATGAATAAGATTATTTAACAAGTCATTAAATATCAACATTCAAAAACATCTGAAACACACATCAGACAAAATTCTGAGTCAGGATTCAGTCAAACCTGAACACACAGACATGAGAACACCACTGCAAATAAACCTCTGTTAATCTGATTAGAGATCAGAGAAAGAAGAAGTTCCTCAGTCAGTGATCAGTGATAGTTGTCAGTACCAATGGTACATAACAAACAGGAACTTAAAATAATTAATTCAGTTCACTTCATTTTCCAAAAAAACAAAAAAAAACAGGGTTGAAGTTGAAACCCAAAGTTGAACTCACTTCGTCCATGGCAACATATTTCCTGTTTAAAACTTTATGGAATCCTATGGCCATTTAAAATGGGGCGTTAGTGCAACATTTACCTTGAGATGCACAGTTATGTTAATGAAGCAGATTAATTATGCCAAGTGCTGTGCTAGAGGNACATTCAGAAGACTAACTGCATGGATGATATCTGACATTTCATAATGGGAAGCAATGACAACACTGCAGTAACTAATATATGCCTCTAGATGTTCTCCATGTCCCATCATCTCTACTACACCTAAACCCCCAGTAGCCACTAGATGTCTCCCTTTACCCAGGCATGCATGCATGGCAATCCTGTGGAGTTCATAAACCCACAGGTTTTATGGTGTGTTTGAAATATTATCATACTAACAGAAATATCAGCTATGATAAGATACACACACCCCCAAGAACCCAGTATATTCATTTAAACAACCATAACTCCAAAAGCATGCTAGAGATGGTATCACACACACACACACACACACACACACACACACACACACACACACACACACATAGACTTGCATTCATTTCCTGGAGACTACTGACAAAAAACCCCAGCTTTTTCTTAATTTAGGACACAGCTTTTGAATTGGACAATTTAGCATAATTAGGCTATGTAATAATATCATTTTGACAAACAGACAAATACATTTACTACACATAATATTTAAATTATTATATGAATGATATATGGCATAAATAGATTTATCCAGAGAAGAGGATCATAAAGCCCACACACTTAATTTATCATACTAAATGTTATCTATAAAAGATAAAACGTACAGCTGGAATGCGATTAAAGTGAAAGCGGACTGATGTGATCACGGCTGTGATGTCCTGTGTCCAGCCAGGCAAATCAAACGATCACCGACCAGAACAAGGGAGAAAGTCTCCTGTTGTTGCATCAAGTTACCCCGTCATAAATCAGACACAGGATATTGAGCGTTTTGCCTTCAAAATAAAGTCAGAACCAGAACAGTTGCACCGAAGATAAAATCACTTCTGCTTCCAATATTTGTACTATGACTAATTGAAATATGAATATTAGCTTTACTTACATATAATATTGAGCACAAAAAGAATTGCAATTTAACCAAGAAAAGTAGAGCAATTTAATGAGCAGTGACAAAATAGTGTAAATATTTACCCTCAGCCATAGTATTATCAATAAAAATATGGAAAATCAGGAGAAAGTGTGTTCAGGCAGCAAGATAGAAGATAATCATACACAATACAAAGACAACAAAATAATAAAAAAGCTTGTGTATAAAAAATAATAATAAGAGAAGTGTATTTCCATGAACATGGTTCAACATTACAAAAACCAAGCTGTGATGTATGCAGGTCTTATTCTTTTCAGACACAAAACGAACTAAATAAACAAATAAATGCTATATTTCATATTTAAGTTTTATGATTTTGTTTTTAATGGATGCAAATTTAGAGTCTAACTTAGAGAGGTGAACAAATTTGGCTTGTTGACACAAAGGGATATGTTGGCTGTGGTAAAATGTATTTTACTATACTTTTAAATTAAAAGTATAGTTGAATTATTAATACTTTTAATTTGATGAATTTAAGATTTTAAGACTAAAGAGCATTAAGATAAAGGGCAACCAGTCCACTTAGAACAATTTTAATTAAATCAAATAACAATGAAGAACATTAAATTAAAAGATATCATGACTATAAGACTACCAGTTATTGAATGAAAACAAATGAGAAAATGTTCCTGCCTTTAAATTCTTTTCTTTATTTTGGCTTTTAGTTTGAAATTTATCACCGGAAATGTTGTGTATCATTGTGATGTTGACCGTTGCTCACTCAAACCCATGACAGAATCGTGCAGGCGGGCTAGTGGCTAACAAGTTGGCTGAATATCGGTGCTAAATTCACAGTAGAAAAAATAGCACTAATCGTGAAGTTATTTTTTCACTGTACAAACTTTAACATTGGACCTCCATGACGCGGCTGGACTGAGGAGGACGCCAGCCATCACAGGCTGAAGCAGTGATTACCTCGTAGAAAACATTAAAACGTCGCCAGCTAACAGTTAGCAGACAGACAAACGTCCCCCAGGACTGGCTGAATATTTCCAGCCTGTGTTTTCCCTCCGTGAGCCAGTCAGACAACCCACCGGCAGACCCCCAACGAAGCAAAGGTGAGTGCCACGCATACAAAAATAAGAAAAACACGAAACGAACCAGCTGCTAATGTTGATTAAACGCAGCTAGCTTAATTGCTAATTCGCTGTGTGTGTGTGTGTGTGTGTGTGTGTGTGTGTGTGTGTGTATGTGTATGTGTGTGTGTGTGTGTGTGTGTGTGTGTGTGTGTGTGTGTGTGGTGAGTTGACAGCCGTGACTCTGCAGTCGAGCAGTGCGTACTATTATGTAATAAACCAGGGTTAGCGATAGCTGAGGCGTAAGTCTAGCAGCTTCTCCATCTCCATATGCTCCCCTTCACGTCTCTGCAGGCTGTCCCAACTCACACTGTAGTGTGACCGTTTTGAGGAATAGTCTATATTCACTCTGAGGTGTTTAATGTCAGCCTATTTGCAGCCGTGCGGGCAGGACGCGAGTTGCCGTGCAGCAAAGTGGTGAGTGGTGAAGCATGCTTAATTTAAATTTCTTTCAACCACATTGTATCTGGATGATTAATGGAAGAGGATGTGCACATAGAACCAGCTTGGTTTTGGTGTTTCAAGGACGGTGGACAGTGCTGAAAAAACATTGCTTCTCCCTGACTTCCCTTGCGGTCTACATGTTACTGCCTATGATCCTGCTGCAGTGTTGCATATCTGCAGCCTCCTCAGCCCTGGTGCTCTGTTACCACTTTCACCCCAGGAGCAGAAACAGGAGACTGACCGGCATCAGGACCTGTTCCTAATTGTGTCAGACAACTGATGCATCCGGTGGATCCTGGTCTGTTATCAGATATCTGATATCAGCCTGCCATCTCATCCTCCTGTGATTTTATGAAGCTTTCTCCCTCCGACCTTCTGCTCAGTTTGTGTATGTTTATATAGACCACTGAATAGGTTTTATAGTTGGAAGCTAATTATACATTTAAAGGCTCTGAATATCAGTTTTCCTAAACCCCCACCCCCTCCACTGGTGTTATAAGAAGCACGAAATTATCACAGAAGCACCAAGTACAAGTCTTGTTCTTTGGCCTTCAAATTTCTGCTGAACCTCAGGTGATTTGAGTTAATGATGAGAACACCTATCAGTATATTCTATTCTGTGTACCTGAGCCAACTTAGGTTCTCTGCCAGTCACATACTGGATTTCCATGTTTTCCATCCTGTATTTGCATATTAATGAAGGGTAATCCCAGACTTTCCATGCCAAACTTTTGTTGAGGTGAGTCGCGCAATCCAGGGTCACAAGAGCGACCAACTCATTTGTCAGTCAAATTCAGTTTCCATTCAGCCTCTCTCGAAACCACAGCTTGTTGCTTGTGCACCTCCCTGGTAAACACACAATGTTTTGAATTTGAATTCAGAATCTATTTGTGAGCGTCAGAAATGTATTAATGCTGACATGCAAAGATAAACAGAACTGGATTATATTTGTGTGGTGTGTTTGCACAGTGATGGGAGGACAATATATCATAGGTCAGTCTGGTTTAGGAGTCAATTAATCTGCAAATTATTTTCTCAAATAATCAATTTTTTGATAAATTGTGGGAGAACTTTGAAATATGCTCAGTCTGATTTCACAGACCTCAGAATGACTTTACAAAGATACTAAATTTACAGTGATATGAAACAGAGAAATTCAGAATTATTGGATTGTCAAAATAGAGAAAGATTAGTTTTTTGTTTCAGATGATCGATTCATTCAATAATCTTTTCAGTTCTAACCTGATTGATTTCCAACCTAACTGCAGAAGTTAAAAATTGCAGGAGGGTGTAATGACGTGGTCTCTGCTCAGCATGTATCCTACATATGTTATTCTAGATCAGGGGTCTTCAACCTTTTTTACTCTGAGAGCTACTTTGACAAGATAAAAAGGGCTGAGAGCTCCTCAGGTCTGATATTACTGGTTACATTTATTCACATATCGTATCAAAACACTCAAACTGATCTCCAAAATAAATCGGATGAATAAGATTATTTAACAAGTCATTAAATATCAACATTCAAAAACATCTGAAACACACATCAGACAAAATTCTGAGTCAGGATTCAGTCAAACCTGAACACACAGACATGAGAACACCACTGCAAATAAACCTCTGTTAATCTGATTAGAGATCAGAGAAAGAAGAAGTTCCTCAGTCAGTGATCAGTGATAGTTGTCAGTACCAATGGTACATAACAAACAGGAACTTAAAATAATTAATTCAGTTCACTTCATTTTCCAAAAAAACAAAAAAAAACAGGGTTGAAGTTGAAACCCAAAGTTGAACTCACTTCGTCCATGGCAACATATTTCCTGTTTAAAACTTTATGGAATCCTATGGCCATTTAAAATGGGGCGTTAGTGCAACATTTACCTTGAGATGCACAGTTATGTTAATGAAGCAGATTAATTATGCCAAGTGCTGTGCTAGAGGGCGAACTTGTGGGAGAGAGGCTGTTTCTTTGTACACATGCAAGAAATCATTTGGAGCACGTGGCATATTCCTGCTTCATAGAAGTAATTCTTTCCTACAATGCATGAGGTAAATTGGGAGTGTGAAGGGTGTGACTCTGCAGTATTGTTCATTTGTCTTTTGTTGTTTTATCTGTTTGCACACGCATTAGAAATCAGATGTCGGTAAAATGAATAAGACAAAATGTGGCGAGCAGATTTGACTGACTGTTTTTAGACTGTTATTTTTCCAGTAGTGGTTTGCTGAGTATGAAAGCTTTTTGTAAACACCAGCAATTGTTTGTCTTAAAATCTCTTTTTCCTGTTATGGAAGAAAGATTTTTGACTGTCACTATCCCATGTTTCTTTTTATTCTTTCAGTTCCTGTTATTACATGAAGATTGTACTCAATTGTTTACCTAAGTTTCCCACAGAATATTAACTAAATGCAAAATAGGCTGTTATGGATGCAGTTAAATTGAAACGTTTATTTATTAATTTATTTATTTATATTGAGCATTTCAGCTGATACAGAGAGATCTTTAAAGTATTTTGATGTTAGATGTTAAGGAATTTTGCTAATGGAGTGTTGCTTTCCAGTCAAAATGAATCACTCAGTTATACAAAGATCTGCTGTCAGGAGCACATGATTGTGACTCACAGCAACATGTCGGTGCCACCCTTGCAAAAGGTCATACACTGCAAACACTAGGTTTGATTCTGTTCTTTTATGAAGCCTGTATCTCTACTATATTCTACTACATATATATGTATGTACTACTCACTTGGTTTGTTAAATTATGAATTCTGTTTTGTATTGAGAAATACTTCCCAAAGGCTGCTGGAGGGAACTTTATGTTTTTTACATTATTCTGTCTGGGTAAAGTCTGCATTTTGATCTAGGAGCGGTGTTTTCTAGTGGTAAATTAGTTTGATCAGCAGTAGCCTACCATGGTGATGCATTTCTACCTGTTTTATACACAAATATAGAGCTGCCCCCTAATAGTTAACCAAATGTTAGTCGATGAGAAGAGTCTGCCAGGTTTTGAGTGGTCAGTTGGTAACAGGAAAAACAAAAATCAAACTCCACAGGAAGTGGCTACTCTCAGTCACGACAGGAAATTGAGGAAATCCAAAGTGTGAGGTCATTTTGTGAGGGTAAAGAATGACCCCAAGAAGGTGACATGCAATCTCTTCAGGCAATCATTCACCTATCATTTGTCCACCTCAAACCTATCTCATTTTAAACATGTTAGTAGACTAATGTTTGGCCTCTAGCATGGCCACTCGCTCTAATGTGAGATAGCTTTGATAAATATGCAGTATTAGGCTTATCCAAGTGTACATGGGAACTGGGGGAAACTAAGTTACCTTTCTTACTGCACCTTTGTGCTTTGTGCATGATGTGCATTTCTCTCTATATTGTGATGTTTTTGGTGCTATTTGGTATATCTAGTATATGGTTGTTGTGTCACATTCAGAATCATTACCGCTTTTGCTGGAGTGAGGCGGCTCGCTTCATGCATGTGCTTGTAAACTTTATATTTTAAAGGCTGCTTATTACGGTTAAGTATTTCTCTGTAATGTAGTACAGTGTTAGCAATGTTATTTATAACATTATTTAGCCGCCCTGGAACTCGAATCATTTTTTGAAGCCCCTTAAAATATATATATATTTAAATAATGAAATTAATCAGGGCTTGAATTTCAGTGTGGGATTGCGGATATTGCACATAATTTACACTTACAATGAGGGACATGTCCGCCCACATTTACAGCCATGTCTAATAATGTTCAGCCAATGTTTGCACCGGGATGACTGACGCTGCATCAGACAGAGCGACTTCCGCCCTGGACAACACACTTGGCTGTTAGCCTCCTCCGCTGTTGCAGCATCTCTCACTATATACAGACTTGAAGACATGCAAACATGGACTGATGGCTAAAACGTTAAACGTATCGTCCGAAATTCTACCTGCTCTGAGAAAACACCAGAACCCAGAAGGAGTAGTGCAAACAGCAGGGCCAGTGATGTCAACGTTAAAAACGTTTAAAAAAAAAAAAAAAAAACAACACAAAAACTAGTCGACTAAGAAAATTTAAACTGTGAAATGGTTAAAGACTGCTGATATTCATTATTACATACACAGAGCACAGTTAGTGTTTCTCAAGCATTAACAGTAGAGGGAAAAGCTTAGAGTCTCGTGAAATAAAATATGTATTTATAGTTCTTAATCACAGTTACCGGCCTGAAAGAGCTTCACGGCAGCCACATTATGAAACAATAAAACAGCTCCAGCAACTTGAGTCCCTCACTGAACAAATATTCACCTGTCAGCAAGTCACAGGTCCCTCAGCAGCCTTGTTTCTCTCTCTGCCTCCAGACTGAAACACTATTAGGAGCCATAACAAATACTGTGCTGCTCATGAAGTTATTGAAATGCCAAGGCCGGTGCATCAGTGCAGGCTAATCTTCCCAGCTGGGACGCTCAGGCCACTGGCTGTGGTTTGCCTGATTGGATGCATTTGCTCCGACAAATGCCAGATGTGCTTGAAGTGAGATAGTTGACTCACTTCTTGTCA